AAATTGTGCGTGTGTAAAAAATAATCGCCTTACATAAAAAAGAAAAAGTATTGGGAATCGTTAGAACAGAATGACTTAAATGATCGCACTTTTAATTATAAATTGTATGTCTTAGTAGTAAATAATAAATCTTAAAATATGAGAAGATTGGAACAGTGAGAGAGAGAGAGGCGATAATTCAAATCACTTTTACTTACAAAAATATACAAAATCCAAAAATAATAACTTTCAAGAATAATCTTACTACTGGAACTAAAAATAAATCTTTTAAGATTTTAAAATGTTTATGTAAAAATTCGATAAATGTTGCGTATATGTTAAAAATATTAAAACAAAAATCGCATGATGTCAAATCTGGTCGGAGGGCCGGCGCGTCCGATTTGTCTTGAAGTAACATAGATAATAATTAAATTCAAGAAGCGTGAGTGGTAACAAAAGTTCGATGAGGATCTTTCGTGTATGCTTTGGCCCGCCGAGCTGAATACCAAATTTTTGCACGTTACAAAGAAAGACAAGAGAAAGTCTATAGGTGCTTTCAAGACGATGATCGTACCAAAATAAGAACGTACCACAGCGACTTTTTTATATCACGGTGAAAAAATGGTGGCATAGAAATACATCGATAATCTGCTCATTAAAATATTTTCTCGAAAAAATTATAATAAACATGAATTTTATTTTTAGTCCAGCCAATGCTAATTATTTATTTTTATCTTTGATACAAAATATTTGTGATTGATATTTTAAGAAAGAAACAAATATGCTAATAGATTATTTTAAATAATAAACAGAAAAATATACTGCCTAAAATTTTCATTTGGCCATAAAAGAAAGTGATTTTCTGTGGCTGTTTTGCTATGGCTGGCATTTTTATAAAATATGTCTGCAAATATTTAGTAAAATAATTAATCATTTTTTTATCCTATCTAAGTAAAAACAGTAGGATAAACAACTGGAAGGATCGGTTTTTGAATGATTTCCAATGAAAATCTATCAAATCGATCTTATGTTTGATCCATGTTCCATGTTAGATTCACCATCATTAACTATTTGACAATAGCACAGTTTACAGAATAATTTTACAATAGCCACTTCATCAGTGAATGCAACCAGTAAGGATATAAGTCATTTCTGTTAAGATTTAGAAGCTTCTAAGTTTTTTGTCTTGAGGTGTTCTTCCTCAACTGTGCCACTCCATATGGCCAATTTCCCAGGCATTACAGACTGGTAATGGAAAATTTTCATAAGTAGGTGTCAATGTACAAAGATAAAATCTAAACAATGTCCAATAGAAAATGAAATACAGTGAAAAAAATGGAGCTGATCCTCTCTTTGAGTTGAACATAATAACTTCAGGTAGCAGTAGCACCAACACCAATGAAACGATATATGCTTGGAATAACACAATGGTTCGAAGATGATAGAGTGGATAAGATATAGTTAGAATTCCATCATTTTCATATATAAGGGAACTCCATCTAAAGAAAAGAATCTTCGATCAGTTCATACCACCAGTCATGACATACGGCTGATGTGAAGCTGGATATTGAAACTCCAGACATCACCAAGAAGGAAGCGGAAGATGATAGATATAGATAGAATTCCATCGTCTTCCATCGTAGTCCAGAGTGGAACCCATGATATACGGCTATGAAAGCCGGACACTGTAACTCCAGATAGCACAAAGGCTGATGGAGCAAGGTATGTTTGGAATAACAAGTAGGGACCAGAAGAGGACAGAGTGGAGAAGAGAGAAGACCCAAGTAACAGACATGATCTATAAAAAAAATCCCTCAAATGGTAATGGCCAGGTTATCTAAAGAGAATGATTGTAAAAGATGGACCATCAAAATTTCACAGGGAGATGTTCTAATAGAAAATGGTACATACATACAACAATAGAAAACGGTGCATATTGGTGCAAGTCAAGGAGGAATTATACAAGGAAGGGTGAGGTAACTAATGTTAGAATAGATAGCTGAGAAGACCCAGGTAACAGACATGATCTATAAAAAGAAATCCTTCAAATGGTAATGGGTAGGTTATCTAAAGAAAATGATGGTAAAAGATAAACCATCAAAATTTCACAGGGAGATGTTCTAATAGAAGATGACACTACAAAATTAGAAAACGGTGCATATTTGTACAAGTCAAAAAGGAATTATGCAAGGAAGGGTGAGGTAACTAATGTTAGAATAGATAGCTGAGAATACCAAGGCAACAGACATGATCTATAAAAAAAATCCCTCAAATGGTATCGGGCATGTTATCTAAAGAGAATGATGGTAAAAGATGGACCATCAAAATTTCACAGGGAGATGTTCTAATAGAAAATGGTACATACATACAACAATAGAAAACGGTGCATATTGGTGCAAGTCAAGGAGGAATTATACAAGGAAGGGTGAGGTAACTAATGTTAGAATAGATAGCTGAGAAGACCAAGGCAACAGACATGATCTATAAAAAAAATCCCTCAAATGGTATCGGGCATGTTATCTAAAGAGAATGATGGTAAAAGATGGACCATCAAAATTTCACAGGGAGATGTTCTAATAGAAAATGGTACATACATACAACAATAGAAAACGGTGCATATTGGTGCAAGTCAAGGAGGAATTATACAAGGAAGGGTGAGGTAACTAATGTTAGAATAGATAGCTGAGAAGACCCAGGTAACAGACATGATCTATAAAAAGAAATCCTTCAAATGGTAATGGGTAGGTTATCTAAAGAAAATGATGGTAAAAGATGAACCATCAAAATTTCACAGGGAGATGTTCTAATAGAAGATGACACTACAAAATTAGAAAACGGTGCATATTTGTACAAGTCAAAAGGGAATTATGCAAGGAAGGGTGAGGTAACTAATGTTAGAATAGATAGCTGAGAATACCCAAGAAACAGACATGATCTATAAAAAGAAATCCTTCAAATGGTAATGGGCAGGTTATCTAAAGAAAATGATGGTAAAAGATGAACCATCAAAATTTCACAGGGAGATGTTCTAATAGAAGATGACACTACAAAATTAGAAAACGGTGCATATTTGTACAAGTCAAAAAGGAATTATGCAAGGAAGGGTGAGGTAACTAATGTTAGAATAGATAGCTGAGAATACCCAAGAAACAGACATGATCTATAAAAAGAAATCCTTCAAATGGTAATGGGCAGGTTATCTAAAGAAAATGATGGTAAAAGATGAACCATCAAAATTTCACAGGGAGATGTTCTAATAGAAGATGACACTACAAAATTAGAAAACGGTGCATATTTGTACAAGTCAAAAGGGAATTATGCAAGGAAGGGTGAGGTAACTAATGTTAGAATAGATAGCTGAGAATACCCAAGAAACAGACATGATCTATAAAAGAAATCCTTCAAAAAATGGTAATGGGCAGGTTATCTAAAGAAAATGATGGTAAAAAGATGAACCATCAAAAATTTCAGGGGAGATGTTCTAATAGAAGATGACACTACAAAATTAGAAAAACGGTGCATATTTGTACAAGTCAAAAAAAGGAATTATGCAAGGAAGGGTGAGGTAACTAATGTTAGAATAGATAGCTGAGAATACCCAAGAAACAGACATGATCTATAAAAGAAATTCTTCAAATGGTAATGGCAGGTTATCTAAAGAAATGATGGTAAAAAGATGAACCATCAAAATTTCACAGGGAGATGTTCTAATAGAAGATGTACACTAAAAAATTAGAAAACGGTGCATATTTGTACAAGTCAAAAAAGGAATTATGCACAGGGAAGGGTGAGGTAACTAATGTTAGAATAGATAGCTGAGAATGCCCAAGAAACAGACATGATCTATAAAAGCAAATTCTTCAAATGGTAATGGGCAGGTTATCTAAAGAAAATGATGGTAAAAGATGAACCATCAAAATTTCACAGGGAGATGTTCTAATGAGAAGATGACACTACAAAATTAGAAAACGGTGCATATTTGTACAAGTCAAAAAGGAATTATGCAAGGAAGGGTGAGGTAACTAATGTTAGAGTAGATAGCTGAGAATACCCAAGAAACAGACATGATCTAAAAAAGAAATCCTTCAAATGGTAATGGGCAGGTTATCTAAAGAAAATGATGGTAAAAGATGAACCATCAAAATTTCACAGGGAGATGTTCTAATAGAAGATGACACTACAAAATTAGAAAACGGTGCATATTTGTACAAGTCAAAAGGAATTATGCAAGGAAGGGTGAGGTAACTAATGTTAGAATAGATAGCTGAGAATACCCAAGAAACAGACATGATCTATAAAAAGAAATCCTTCAAATGGTAATGGGCAGGTTATCTAAAGAAAATGATGGTAAAAGATGAACCATCAAAATTTCACAGGGAGATGTTCTAATAGAAGATGACACTACAAAATTAGAAAACCGTGCATATTTGTACAAGTCAAAAAGGAATTATGCAAGGAAGGGTGAGGTAACTAATGTTAGAATAGATAGCTGAGAAGACCAAGGCAACAGACATGATCTATAAAAAAAATCCCTCAAATGGTATCGGGCATGTTATCTAAAGAGAATGATGGTAAAAGATGGACCATCAAAATTTCACAGGGAGATGTTCTAATAGAAGATGGCACTACAACATTAGAAAACGGTGCATATTGGTACCAGTTAAATAGGAAGTATGCAAGGGAGGGTGAAGTAACTAATGTTAGAATAGATAGCTGTGATGATTTATATCCATTTTCTACGTACAGCGTTATCAAACGCTGTTTGTTTGGTTTCATGCGCAAATATGTGTACATCTATCATTTATGCTTATTATTGATATCTCAGTATTGAAATAAGTAATGGGACTGGACGGTCCGGCTAATTATGTTTATTTGTGATTACAAGGTAGCCGCGATATGTCGAATCAAAATTGAAGCGAGAAATTTCTTCTTGTGGTCAAAGCGGTGGTGTGGAGATGAAAAAGGCGCGCAGGCAGGGTGAAGCCCCATCGAGGCTGGGGCCGGGCCTGAGCAGGTCGGTTCAACCGGGGCCCAGTCTCAGTCTGGCTTCGTCAGAGACAGCCGGCCGCAGCCACTTTTAGTAGTCGCTTTCAATCGCCTGCCGTCGTCGGTGTATCGCGCTCGACTCTGGAACGTGGCCTGCCTGTGGTGTGTCGTCATTGCAGCAACGTTTTGTTTTCATCTTGGTTCGACAGACACTGTCACCTTCAAGGCTGCCGGCTCTCTTTTTTTCTCCTTTTATTTTACTACGATACAGGCCCGAAAAATTTTGACAGTTCGGCTCAATAATCCCTTTCCGTCAAACAGTGTAATGTTTACATAGCCGATCCGAGCCGGCAGAGTGATGTTTAGGTGAGACATTTTCACAGTATTTTCGTGGGTTTTCAATGGCAGCGTAAAAGAAAGGAAACTTGCTTGACTCGGCCTAACGAAAACGAATCATCATCTCTCGTGTAAGAGCTGGTTATATTTAATTTCGTTTTTCCACTTTCGCTTGGTGTGTCTTAAGAGAACTCGCGACACAGTAGCGGGCATGATGCGTACGCGGCGTTGTCGGCTCTTGCCCGTATTCCCTTCACGTTCATTTTCCCAACATATCGCACTGAAATCAAACTAACGCCCTGCAAAATCGATAAGGGTTTATTATACCTATTTTCTCTTGACATTTTCATCTAACATAGTTTTTTTACTTTATCTCTAGACATAAAAAATCATATTTGGTATACCTACTATTTATTCATTGGCTCTCTTATTTGTTTTATTACATCGTTTTAATAAAAATGAAGAAAAAATACACAAACCAAACCCAATACACTAAAACATCATATATCATCATTAAAACATTTTTCATTTCTGTAATTTTCAAAAATTCCAACCTAATTTGTAGCTAAACCTCCCAAAAATAATTTAAGAATACTAACTTTGTTAATATTTATGTACAAATAAGGCAATTATTTCTACTTGTCCGTCTTTATTGAATCAAATATATTTTTATTTCAAATTTTGAATGTTTTGAGGTTTTTATAACATTAAACCATGAAAACAACCACAACTTTAATTCAATATGTTCATATCTTACTCATATACACCAAGAATATTAAATTCCCTGCACAAAGTTGATATTATACTCTATATTCTTGTTGATATTTAATCTAGATCTAGACCCAGTTTTTTTCGTTATTATTGAATACTTATACATTTTATGCCATTCCCTATAGATTCTAGCATCAAATCCAATTATCTTGATCCATTTTAGTACCACTATATCTATATAAACTTGTTATATTTTCGTATAACTTAATATTCTTGATTAAATTTGATTCTGCTGTAATACAGCTGCAGTAATAAAATGTTTTTTTTTTATCAAAGACATGAGTATTTGCGTATTCTCTGAAGTCATTTATTATTTACTTATTTTAGTATCGTCTTGTAGACGTTTAAAAGCCATCAAATCCCAATTTTACTTTCACCGAAATCTAATACTGATTTTTTTTTATCAGTTTCACATTAACCCTATTTCATAATTTTGTAAAGTCAGCATTTTAATAATATAACGATTAATATGGACTTAAAAGTCTCTTAATTATTGCTTTAACCCAAATTTTTGTTAACACCTCATGAACTTTTTAAAAATACATTTAGTATTTTTTCGTTCCACGTGTGACCATATTTTTAAATTCAATCAGTTTGCTTTGAATTAATAATAATAAAAGCGATGTGTTTGTACACAAGCTTGATAAGACGATATATGTCATTTATTATAGCAAATGCGCTGTAGCACTGTATCATTTTTATGAGAAAAAAAGTAAGAGTATCAGGAAAAATATTATGAAAAATCGTTGTTTATTTATTTCGAGTTAATTTCGGCCTATGGAATTTTTCTAGGTTACGCTAGCACACGCAGCATCAAAAGTGGAATTAATCTAAGATTAAAAAATGTCGTAATTCCACTTGTAGAGTTAAAGGCCAAATGTTAAATGGTAAATCTGGCAACTGCGCAACACGCTAAACCAATGCGCGCGCAAAGCGACCAATTATTTTTTTGTTCTACTTTTCTTTAAATTTATTATTAACTACAATTACATTTTTCTTTTTTCATTTGTGCGTTCCAAATATTGGGCCGAGGAAAAAACAACAGATTTATTAATAGTGACATTTTTGACACCAATTTAATACCATGTGGGTTTAAATGCACAATCCATATGCGCGTGCACATACGATTTATTATTCTTCTATCTATATTTATTTTTTTATCTTATCACGTTTTGATGCACTGACTGATTTTTAAAAATATGTGCGTACATGCTATAATGCAGACATTCTTTTTCGGACAAATACTTTCCTTCTGAATATTCTGAATGAATTAAGAATGAAATAGAAACAGAAAATTCCGAAAATTATTGGAAATTAATTAATTTTGGTAGTCTATGGACCTTTTTTCCATAAGAATTCTGTTTCAGTTATTATTTGACTATTCTATATTATGTTAATATGACGACATATTTTTTTTATCAGTAAACAGCGACAATATTATCATTAAGCAAATAATAAAATTATAATTATCCAGTTTTTTCGTACTCTAGCGCAATTTATCTTGTCCTAGGTCAGAAACCTTATTTTTCACTCAATAATAAAGCTGAAATTGTTTATATAGTGGATGGTAAGTTGAATTTTATCAATTAATTCAATTCCTTAGTTTGAGTTAGAGAGCGAGCAAATGGAGTTTGTTTGGTGTGCCAATGTGACATTTCTTGATAGTTATATTTACCAAAGATATATTATTTTAGGTACCGTACAGTCGTCATGAACCAAGTTGATTATAACATATTAACTTTGAAATTGACTTGGTTCGACGATCTATTTTAATCCTTATAAACTAAATCATCATTCGGATATTTATTTATGTCGTAAAGAAGTAAAAATAGCTACATTCCTGCAAAAAAAATATTTAGAGAATTTAAAAAAGCATAATAAATTTAATTATTCATATATTACTTTAAAACATTACGGCACAGCACTATCGTTTTTTTTTTGGTTAATTTCCCTTGTATACAGGGTGGTCCGAAATGTATTCCGGAAATTTCGGCAATTTATTCTACAGATAAAAATAAGTAAAAAGGTTCATATAAACTTATGTTCTAAAATGTTTCGTTACGGAGATACAGGGCGCATTTTTTTTATTTAGTGGTTTTTTCTATTAAGGTACATTCACGCTGAGAGCGTCGAGCGTCGCGTCCGCCTCATTGAACTCGAACCCCGACGCTAAGCGGACGCTAGCGCAACGCCAAACGCGACGCTGTCTGCCTGAACGGTCTAATTTAAGTTAAGTGAATTGATTCCATTTCGACACGCGGACGCGACGCAAACGCGACGCTAGACGCTCGACGCTCTCAGCCTGAATGTACCTTATTTCTGTACTAATGTCGGATATTTCGATCAAAATTGGATATTTTTGACATGAAAATGGCAAACATGTTGACTAGATAGTTATTAGACTGAAATAATAAATTTGAAATGTTTTTGTGTTAAAGGTTCACTGTGTCAAAGAACACTTATATCATAATTTTTTCTACAAAAATTTATGATTACTTAAAAAAATATAAAATTTATCATGGCCAACATGATTATTTTTCGACAATAATGACATGTATTGACTATTTCCATTCCTAATATCTTGGGAACGGTTGCTTGTAGCCATTTTTACCAAGATACCTTTGTTACGTAAAAAATTACAAAAATATATAATTTTTCACTTGGTAGTTTTATACAGGTACGAACAAAAAGTTACTCTTTAAAGTTAACAATTACTCTTCAAAACAGTTAAGAAACATGTAGGTGGCGCCCCCTATAAGTAGGAGTCGTACTAATATTGAATTTCTCATGTCAAAAAACTCCCAGACAGTAGCGGATACAGAGGGGGGGGCCCATGGGGCCCGGGCCCCCCATAAAATCTGTAAATTGGGTTAAATATTAGCCTTTTGGGTTAAAAATGGCCTAAAAAGCATATTCTACATAATTTTTTTATTTGGGCCCCCCTAAAATAAATTCCTGCATCCGCCCCTGCTCCCAGACATAAATTTCCATCCAAATCGACTATAGTTCAGAAATGATTTAGAAAAACAGAAATAAAAATGATTTTATACCCTGTATTTCAGAAACGAAGCATTTTAGGACTCGATTTTATCTGCGGAATATGCTGCCGAAGTTTCCCGAATACAATTCGTACCACCCTGTATTTTAAAAGCAATAGGTGGGTATTTGTATGTGTTTATTTGATTTTTCAAAATAACTTTCACGTAGATTTTTTATGAGGACAAACAAATGGATTACTGTACCTGTTGGCAAGTTAGCCAAATAAAAAATATTTCTCTTCAATTTAATATTTATATTTCCATTGATTCGCAACATTTAAAAAGAAAACCTATGTCCGTTGATGAAAAAGAAAGGCACTGCCATCGTTTACGACTTCAAAGATGAAGTAATTTCATTTCACTTTCTTGTACTAACATCTTTAATAAGATATATAGCCGCATGGCATTGTTTTAACTGAATAATTGCTCTCTATAGTTTTCACCGGGCAATTACCTTGGCTCTTGTTTGTAAAAGATTACTTTTTGGAAAAAAATATTTACAGTAAAATAACACAGTATGAGCAAATGAATTTTTTTTTGTATAAAAATATAAATCACACCTTGTATCGCATCACGTATACAGCGACTCTTGATTTTAATATTCTTTGTGTCGTTTTCTAATAAAATACGATTTATTTAAATTTGGTTACCAAATACCGTCAAATCCAAGGTCAGAAAGTCTGTTATTGTGGCTAGAGTCTATAAATTGCTTTCCCAACATGGTCTTCTAAACACTATTAATATAAATACATTCACGAATTTTTTTCTCATCCTTATATTCCTTCAGTGCCTTCATTATTTTTTTTTCATTATTAACTTTTATCTCTAATATATAAATAGTCAGCTAATTTTACATTTTTGGAAATTTTCTATGAAATTTTATTAACACCATTATGAAATCCCCATTCTATTGGGGAAAATCAATGACACAGGTCCGTATTTCGGCTACAATGGACAAACAGCTGAGAAATATAGACGATCTCTTATAAGCCATCAAGTCTAAATATTTTCCTTTCGAATATTAAAAAACAGGAATATATTGAAATACAATAATTATGTACATAGAATTGTCATTTTATCCGCAAGGTTTATTACGTAAGGACATGTTTAAGAGACAAGTAGAAATGGTATGAATCCGGTGATGCCCTACTTTAAATTTTAAATGTTTTCCTATGTATACCCGTCAAATCTAAGGAAAAAAACATTTTACATAAACGAATGTATTTTTTTTCTCGAAAAATTGCATATTGATGCAACAGTCTATAGTTAAATTCATTTTTAGTCAACTTCAAGGTCTGTAGGTATTTTAAAAAGTCAAATTTATCAACATGTTTTGATTATATTCAACTTTCTGTATAAAATTGAAGCTAGTTTGATATCAATAGACGTTAATATTTAGTTTAGTTGGCATTTTAATAGAAAAAAAGCTAAATATATAAAAAGAAAAAAAAAATGCCCTTGTATTGTCCAGATCAATATCCTAGTAAAAGAAAATACCTAATGCTAACCACTGTTCGCTCAAGCTTCCTGGTTTATACATTTTTAAAATATTTTACGCATGTAAGTGTTGTAACAGTACCAACACACGAAGAATTGAGCATTTTGTATTTTGAACACGTACGATGTACACCTATACTACCTATATTGCCATTATTTCAATATAAATACAGTTAAAAATGATATGCAAGAACAAGAATAAGCATTTCCAGTAACTTGGTGCCTTAGCTATTTCCAATATACACAGTGATTAGAACATTTTTCAATTTTTCTAAATTATAAATGGTTCAAAATTATTATCAATAAACTACACTGGTGTAGGTATGCCAAATAATATTTTATTAATAAATAATATTGTCTTGCCTTTAGCTATGTATTTTTTCTAATTTCGAAAAATCGAAAGTAAAAAAAAATTTAAAGTAAAAAGAAAATTGTTTTGCTTGTCGTAAAGGGGGGAACCAAGCTCTCCACTCCCACAACCGGTTTCTGGGCCTACCCTTCATCAGGTGGGCTGTCCAGGGGCTGGTTCTCACCGAAAACGCTCTTTACCATCTTTTGACGGGAGATGCACTAATATCTCACCGACACTTTACTACATCGTCTGTGATATAGAAAGGGTTTTGCTTGCCGTATCGGTGAGAACCAGCCCTTGGACAGCCCACCTGATGAAGGGTAGGCCCAGAAACCCAGAAACCGTGGGAGTGGAGCTTGGTTCCCCCCTTTACGACAAGCAAAACAATTTTCTTTTTACTTTAAATTTTTTTTTTACTTTCGATTTTTTGAAATTAGAAAAAAATACACAGCTAAAGGCAAGACAATATTATTTATTAGTATACACTAAAGCTGTAAGAATTTTGTTCATTTCATAATATTTTATTTGGTCCGGTTGATTTTTGTAAAATTTTATTTGAACGAATAACTTGTTTAAAAGTATAATCTAAAAGTCAGTATTCTGAATGACCTATATTGTTAAGAACAACGATAAGAGAGTCTGTTATCAACTAAGTCCAAGCTGCAGAACTTTTACATGTACATTTCGAATTTTACATGGACATTTACTACAAAGTTAACATCTAAAAGCGAAAAAAATTTTGATAAATTGTTATCGTTTTTAGTTCTTTATAGGTAGCAATTAAGCCAGTACTAAGCGACAACGTTTACTTTCATGGGAAATTCCAAACTTTCTTCTTTTTAAAACGGGTCGCTCTGTATAATTTTGCATATTCAAACGCTTAAAAATAATTTGAATAGAATACCAGATGTCTTTTTTTGTAATCATGTTCGTTAATAACAATAGTAATGTTTTAGAAACATTAACGGCAGAGATAAGGTTCAGAACATAAAAGAGACTAACATTAATAATTAAGTAAATAAATAATAAATTCAAAACAAATAGAGGAAAATTGCGTTTAAACCAACTTTATGACGATAGTTGGTTTTTGAAGTCAATAACCCCGAAATATAATTTAAAAAAATTATTTTGCAATATATACGATACTGTGTTAGGCCGAAAAGCCGTAATTATGGGTAAGAATTTAATATTATCTTTTTTATGAGATTTTAAGTGCGTAAGTGCCAGCATTCGGCAAAATACTAACCTCCATATATATAAAAGAGCAATACTACTGTTTTCTGCCGTAGAAACAACTATTTTGTAAATTTTATTACTTTTTTTAACACAGCAAATTATTTGAGTGATAATGGTTGATTTTTATACTTATTGACTTGTACCTATGAAATTCGTAGGGTGGAAGTAGTTTTAGCCAAGTCGGTATAACAGCAGTCATTTATATGTTAATTTCTCAGCTGTGACCCCATTCACAAACGTTTTATCTATTAGGTATTTAGCCATAAAAATAAGCGACTTATTTTATTAAATTTGCTTATTTAACGATGGATTTTTACGTTTCTACAGTTGCAATTACGCAACAACTTTGACATTTGGCATAAATAGATGCTATTCGACCGAAAGAAAAATAATCATCGTTATTATTATTAATTGTTTTTTAAATTCTTTATTAACGCATCGAACATATATTGATATTTGTCCAGAATTAACTCCACAGTCCATTATTTCACACACGTACAAATAGTCGTGTAAACTCTTCAATTCCTTTACAGAAATTCCGAGTTTGTCCTTTGAAGAAAAACGAATCACATGACCGCCGAAAACACGCCGGAGGTAAACTACGCCTATGCCCGAGAACAAGTATGACAGAGAGATGGCAAAAGTAAGCAGCAACAACAACAGAAAATCACTGGAGGAGATGTGTCCGCTCCAAAACGGCTCTAAAGACAACAATAACCCCACGTGCGAACAAACTTCCTTATCAGCTTCTATAGATCACAACGACGATGCCAACCATCACATATCACAGAATCACAGGTCGAACGGTGACGTCACTACGCTCAGCGCAGACGACAGCGATGACGAAAGCGACACCAGATGTGGATGGGGTCCTATATCACCTGGCTGGATGAGCATATTCGTTTCAAAACAAGTATAGTAATATACCATACAACCAAAGATCTACGTTTACTGCTTTGGAGATGTAGATCATTTGTTGCATAGGCATTGCAGTAGATGTAGATGTATCCAAATCACTCTTACAGATAGTAGATTATGTTATTCCAGAAAATAAGTTGCAAAATACTCACTATACTTTCTTTTTTCGTGTCCATATCAACAACTCATAATTTTAACGTTAAATATTGAGCTACGTCATTGGAATTCTGCTCACAATCCATATACATATCACTTAGAGAGCAAGTCTTAGTGCAGATTCTGTAATACATCAGAAGCCCTATGTTTGGTATTTCTCCATAGACACAGACAGCATCTTTTTGTTCAATCTAATTTGGTTGGTTTTCACAAGTAGATATATCAAAAGTAAATCTAGTCCCAATCTAGACCTCTAGGATGTTCTGTTACATGGTGTCATCCATCCTAGATGTGTGTAGTGTTGTTGAGTGGGACTCAAGATGCGGAGACTGGAGAGGTAATTGTCAAGGTGTTGATTGCATCATCACTCTTTAATTGTCTTTAGCCTCATAATGAAATAGGGAAGCATCTTGCCTGCTTCGAGGATTTTTCTCGATGTGTCTCTGAGCAATTCTTTCGTCATTAACTGTCAGAAAAAATATTGATTGATCTTAATTTGTCAACTTATTTTAAATATAAACATTTTATACTATTCTAGAAAAAACAATTTATTGATATCAACATTTTTCTTCCTAGGGATTTTTGGTGTTCTTCTGCATGGCATGGGTACTCCAAGGGTTGTATCATACATATTTCGTAAGCGTGATCACAACCATAGAGAAATTGTTTCAAATTCAGTCGAAGATAACTGGCATCATAATGAGTGCTACAGAAATCGGACAAATAGGATCGTGCTTGCTTTTGACTTATTATGGTGGCCAGGGCCATAGACCGAAATGGATAGCGTTGGGAATGATACTCTTTGCTGCTGGTTCATTTACATGTTCCCTACCTCATTTTATATACGGGAAGCAGTTGATCAAAGCCCACGGGCTCAGTGGAATTATCAGGTACAGAACTGAGAAATAGCTTTATATTTGAAAATGGACTTTTGATTTATTTTTTAGAGAGCCTCATGTTTGTAACACTGATGCCAACATTCGAGAAACATCTAGAAGCTTATTGAATTCCTCAGATCTCCTAAACGACAATTTGTCGCCTAACATAATCCAGTCGTGTTACGAAGATGTTGATCCAGGACATCAAATCCAACCCAGCGTGAGGAACATCGTTTTGGCTATATTTTTTATTAGCCTTCTCGGTGTCGGAATGGGACAAACGGCTGTGGCTACGCTTGGAATACCGTTCATAGACGATAACGTCACAAGCAAGGAATCGCCGTTATATTATGGTAAGTCACCAACAGGAAAATCTTCCCAGTATTTGATTTATATTAGAAAGATTCTATTCGAAATAACAATTGAAAAAATTACCTCATATTTTTACATAAAACCGACTTGCTAACTTTAAAAATCAATAAACTAACGGTGCCTCGTTTTTAACTGTTCAATTTTGGCAATTTTTACAGTTTCAATTTTTACACCTTGCAAAAAAAGTCGTATAATGACCGGTGAAAGATCAATATTTCATTTAAGAACAGTACAACTTATGTGTGACTATATTCTTCCTGTCTATTATTTCTAATTGTTTTCATTAGAACCTACATAACAACTTTGAAAAAAAAATCTTATTTGCTAAAAGTTTTTGAAATATTTTCTCTCTTAGCTGTAACAGCAGCTGTCAGGATTTGTGGCCCAGCGTTTGGTTTTATTCTTGGATCGTTATGTACAAGCGTTTATGCCGATTTATCTGTCGATCCTAAAATCGATTCATCGGATCCAAGGTGGATAGGAGCATGGTGGGCTGGATTACTCATAATCTCAGGACTTTTAGTGTTAGGCGCCATAGGAATGTATGCCTTTCCAAAACGACTACCTCATATTAAGCCTTTGAGAAGGCCTAGCAAAAATAATATGCTTAACGATAAGAAACAAAACCCTAGTATAAGAGGTACGTTAATTTAGATTTGTAAAACACGGTATCTTTTTCTAATGTCTTCTTTCTTTCAGATTTTCCAAAGACTGTAAAACGATTATTGAAAAACGATATACTTATGTATCGAACTGCCAGCACGATATTACACATACTGCCGATTGCCGGATTATACACTTTTTTACCGAAGTATCTAGAATCTCAATTTAGGTTGCCAACGCCTACTGCCAATATGATTTCAGGTCTGTAAATATTACGTGAAAAGCCAAAATAAAATTAATTTATTGCAATACCGTAGTTTGCACGAACCATTCTCAAATGCAAAGTGTCTCTAATCTTAACAGACTCTTGACATAAATATATGATATACAGGGTGGCCCATTAGTGTGAGGAAGTCCAATATCATCGTTGTTGTCAAAGATAGAAAAAAAGTTTTCTACAGATGTTGCGTGGTTAATAATGGTGCTTATTCTAAAAATATTTTGTTATATACAGGGTGCCACACAATAAGTTCTGATAAAGTTTTATTATTTTCTGTAGATAATTGGATTCAGCATAAAATTCTGCATATAGTATACTATTTTTATTTGAGGCACTATGCGGTGTTGCTTTTATATTTCCTATTTACTAAAACTTACATCATTATCCTATATATATTATGGAGTTACTAAAATCGAAATATTTAAAATGCTACATCTCTATTTTTTAAATGCAACACCCTGTATATTATTTTTCGTTTAGATGCAGACTTAAATAATATCATAGAACATATTTTGTATTTAAAGTATTCCTAAATTTTTACCGGTTTTGCAGATATTCACTGTATTATATTACATAATATAGGGGGTTCAACGGTAAAATATAAAATACCAGATAAGTTAAATTCACTCCAGTTTCTAATCACTTTTCGAATATAGTCGTGTTTTTAACGAAAGTTTTAGTAAGTCAGAAATAGAATAGCAACACCGCATAATGCTTCAAATAAAAATAATGTACTATATGCAGAATTATGCTGAATCCAATTATCTACTGAAAAATGGGGGATGCAATTAAAAAAAACTTAATCATAACTTTTTTTGTGACATCCTGTATAAAACAAAATATTTTTATGATATGCCCCTTTATAAATCATGCAACATCTGTATAATTTTTTTTTAATATCTTCGACAACGACGACGATATTAAACTCCCTCGCACTAATGGGCCACCCTGTACGTACATATGTATATGTATATTTTTTTTGTATTGATGTATTAATTGACCTTGCAGGTGTCGGCGGAATATTGGTCATGGGGATTGGCATAGTGATAAGTGGTTTAATAATTGGAAAAGTCCAACTGAATGCCAGACAAGCCGCTGGTTGGATAGCATTTACTTCCATCGTCTATGCAATCGGAATGGGAATACTTATGTTTATCGGATGCCCTATGAACGATTTGGTTATTGTAAAACCAGATCACGGGTACTACATTAATTTTAAACGAGCTTTTCCTTATTCTAAAACATTTTATTTATTCCAGGTTAGATCTAAACGACATAAACACTTGTTATAAAGGCTGCCACTGCAACGAGGACAAGTTTCAACCGATTTGCGGACAGGACAAGAAAACTTATTTATCGCCCTGTCACGCGGGTTGTCAAAACTACACTGAAAAAGACGGCAAGATAATAGAATATTCAAATTGTTTGTGTCTGGACATGCCGGACCGAACGTTTGATAATCAGACATCTTTTGGGAACGCCACAATTGGATATTGCGAAAACGAATGTGATAACTTCATTTCGTACATGGTGTTGTTTAGTATTTTCGTTTTTATCCACTCCACGTCAGAGGTGGGGTCTATGTTGTTGATTCTACGGTGCGTGGACCCCAGAGACAAAGCAATGGCGATGGGTGTCATCCAGTTCGCCATAGGGCTCTTTGGAAATGTGCCATGTCCAATTATTTATGCAACTGTGGTTGATTCGGCGTGTCTTATATGGGAAATGGCTTGTGGGGAAAAAGGGGCTTGTGGTCTATATGACTCCGACACATTTAGGATGTTTTATCACGGTAGGTTCCTAACGTTCACCTACCAAATCTGGATTTATAAATTCATAAGTTGAATTGAAACTAAAAGAATCTCCGACTTTTTTCAAGAGATGCTCAAGTCCAAAGCTTGAAAATGTTGACAAACCCAAACCCTAAATGGTTTATAAATGCAACAATGTTGATCCTCAATAACAGCGAACAAGCTGAATTCAACTTCCACTTACGAGTTTATGAATTCAGTTTGAATAACGTTAACGTGTGGTTGGAACAGTAATCGCGATACCTCCCAAAAGCAGCGATATTTCAAGGAAGCATGATTAAGCAACTTTTGTTTATTGTATAACAATTTCGACTAGATATTTTTGTGTTATTAGCATTTCAAAATAATTCGTTTCATCGTGAACTGAAATTAAACTTGACTGAGATGAAATTTTACACAACTCGTTGGGGCTGAAATTGGTCATTTCAGTTTAATAATGTCGTATATTATACAAATTATACAAATTCAACTTTGATGACTGAATGTTATTAAATGTATTGCACTGTCGCCCAACAGTCACCGTTTCGACACTTTTGACTGCTTCTTGTAGCGGAGAAACAAACACCTGTTTCCACCTACATTAAAATCATTTTTGCAATCCAATGCCTTGTATATTAGGAATAGTTTAAACTTATTTACATACTGAATTCGTTATGGCTCGCGTATTATCATTCGGATTCGAATAATTGAAGTTTTAAAGAATATTACAGGCAGGGAAATAGTTAACGCTTTCACAAAGGCCAAATTTAATTTATATATTTATACTTCTACTCATTAAAACAAGGTTTACATTTACTAAAAAAAGGTTTTTATATCTACGGCATAACAGCCTTGTTAAATATAGAATTGCCCATGAAATTGCATTTTCACGATTCCTAAATCTTACTTAAGTTTGACACATACCTTCCAAATTAAGATAGAGCTTTACTTCTATAGGGTTAAAGAACTATAGCGATCGGGAATATTTCTCTTAGAAACACCCCGTTTAATCTTATTTTTTTCTGTTTAGGAATAACTGGCGCATTTCTGCTTTGTGCTTTTTTCGTGGATTTGATTGTTTGGTACAAAGTGGGAAAGTTCCACATCGTAGAAGACGAAGAGGAGTTTGAGGAGGAGCTAGCTACAATTGCCATTAAAATAAAAGGAGAGACAGACTAGCAAACGGCTGTGGTGGAAGAGGGTCCACCGAAATACTAAGTTTTGCAATTTCTTAAAGTGAAAAGGCTTGTTTTTGTTTTATTCTAGTTACTGAAGATATTAGAGCCTTTTGTTTCGTGCAAAGAATGATTTTTAGACATATGGTAGCTAAAAAATCGATTAACTATGTGTAATATTTAATCTTATAGGGGGAGGGGGGGTATTCCTAGTCGCAATGAACTGTTGCATTTTTATTAAAAATTTTATAGCAAAAATGCATTTGCAATCTTAGTTGAGATGTTAATATTATTGGACATAGCATAATTTTAGTAAATTTTGTTGACTTAATTATAAATGTTTAGTGAATCGACCCTCTACCTACATACATACATCACATTTTGTATGGCTGTTTCAAAGTAAAATTTTCTATATATTATTTTAATTATATTAGTAAATTATTATAAAGTTAATTTATAACCTAAGGGAAAGTAATCCTGCGTTTGTTATTCGAGGCTTGATCACTAAGTAAGTAATCTGCTTGAAACTAGAATTAATGGTAAGTATTCAAAAAGCAGATATACTAAATACTGTATATTCGTTAGAATTAAGTTGTTAGAGAAATTATATTCTATTAAGGCCTAACCTCTGTTTCGTCTATTATACATGTTATATTTTTAATGAGTCTGTAATACTGCAATTTTTAATTCCAATAAGGGAAACCCTAAACTATTGTTTAAATATAACTATTGCATCCAATATATAAACTGTGATATTTAAATATGTTGCTATGTCCAGCATTTTTATACATTATACATTACTACTCTATTCTGATGTAAGTTGATTTTATATAATAATGTTGATGTAAAAACTTGTGTATACAAAAAGATCAAAATCTTATTAAAATTGTCAATAACTGATACATGAAAGAGACTATTTTAATATATTATCTTTTGTAACTTTTAGAGAAAAAATGAAATTAAAAAAATAAACGTGTTGTACTCTTTTATGTTAAAAGTAAATAAGAAAAGTAATTAAATAAATTTCATTTTATTATTACTTACTATTACACCATAAATTTTCCAGAAATAAAGATATTTTGTATATAACTTGTAATATCTTAATTTTTGCAGTTGCATACACTTCTAAAATTAGAACAACACAAATTCTTAAGTGTTATTTTAATGTCCTTCAACTTTTAGTTACCATTTTTCAGTTAAATATTAAAAATACACTCACCCAACAGAATAATCAACGTGCCATGTACATTTTAGTTTTACGAAAAAAATATTAAAAATACCTCACTTCTATTATAATATATGGTGCTCAACAGTTTATACTTTTATATGGACTTCTAGAACTATTTTTGTTTTTCTCTGTATTCTTTGTGTTAGTTTAAATCAATAGACCAATAAATTTTTTATGTATTTTTGTGGTGTTCATTGTACCTACCTTAAAATCGGGTATAGGGTGATATTAAAAAACATTCATACAGATTTATAGATTTTCTATTTAACAACAAAATAGGAAAGCATTTAAATAAATTCGTATAATATATACTTCGAATGTAAACAACCCTATACAGGGCAATTGAAATAAGACTAGTGTTTATAGGAGTGAGACAGCTACATAAGCATGAGATAACTTCTCTTATTACCCTGTATATCGACTATTAGATCGAATGGACACTGGAATAAACCTTCTAATTATAAACAACAGAATAAAATCTACTAGGCAAATATTGTTAACTGGACAGTTTTAATTTTATACACCCTTAATCAAAGTATATATTTAAATTATTACATACAACTTTTACACTCAGAATACTTTTATACAATATGTTCATAATTAGCTATAAACAAAAATGCCGCGCAATATGAAAGCCGTAACAACTAAAATCATATACAAAAACATATCTGTTTATAACCCTTTTTCTTCACGTTTGGCACACTGTACATTTTTGTTCATTATAAACGCGCATACAGATTGATTAAAAACATGAGGTCAAACAAATCGAATATTTGATGTAATTAGTAGTTCTAAAACATACTGTGCATACATAAAATAATTACAGAAATGCATTCTTCAGTTTTAAATCAGCCTGTTTAAATGCTTCAATTCATAAGCGCCTGTCATTCTCTTGTATATGTTTTGAGTTATTAGAATCTAGAAATATTTAAATTTACTTCTTCCAATATTGGAAAAAATTATCCAGGTATTTAAAATATGAAATATTTATCATTGCCTTAATTGACATATACTTACTTACAATTTACTATTAAATATATTTCTGCCTGTGATAATATACATATTATATACAGGGTAATATAAAAGATATCATAAGTTTATATCTTTAAACTTGTAAAAAATTCTTTAAAGCTCTAAAATAAATTGCATGTCAATGAAGTCTTTCTTAAAATTTAACAGTTAGGAGAGGAGACTGTATGGAGTATGATATACAATAATTTTGAATCCTCCAACTTCTGTCTTTAAGATTAGTAATTATGTATCTGTTAAATTACCCTGCGTAATCTATGTAATTCAATACATAAGACAACATTAAAATACATTTATTATTAATATCTTTCTTCTCCTTATAAATATAGAATTAATAATACTGCAGTTGACTTTACGATCTTTCTTAAGGCTTTGTGTTTGTATAGAAAATTATCAGTATTCCGCTGATCAATTATTTAGGTCATTTGTAAATTAATAAAATCCACTGTATTACAAAAACATTGAATACGAATTGTTATGTATTACTTATCTCATCCATTTGTCCTAATAAATTATATAAATATTTTTTTATTATATTTTTCATTTTTTTATTATTTATTTATGTTAACTGTGGTAAACAGAACAAATTTTAGAAGTACCTATATCAAATTATACTAAAAAATAATAACAATATGCTAAAAATAAATATTGAACTACATATTTCAGTCAATAATTTAAAATTCGCAAACAATTATTTAATCAAATTTATCCGCTTTGGTTAACAATTATTAATAACAGTTGCATGGATTTTACTAAAAATAAAGCTGATTAGATCTAAATAAGGGCAAGGTAGTTTCCTTAGAGCTAAACAAATGTGAGCAAGATTTTTAATAAAAAACAAGCAACTATAGAAAACGCTTCTTTCATCTAAAGAACTATTGATATTTTAATATCTGAAAAATAAATGTATCATTTACTAAAGTATTTTCGAAAAATTATAGTTGTATACAAACCTGTAGTAATTTGGTTTGAAAGGTCCAGCTTTGTTTAATCCCATATATTTAGCCTGCTCATCAGTAAGTTCTGTTAAGTGAGCATCAAACGTTGGCAAATGAAGACTTGCTACATACTCATCTACAAAGACAGACATAATAATAATAGAGCAAAATACATATACTAAGAAACCCCTTACCCATTTTTTTAGGCAGTAAATATACATCAGATTTATATCTTCCAGGAGGTGCATTAAATAATTCAATCAAAGCTAGGGCCTGAGTGGCTGAAGTAATAGATACCACAAATGATGGTAAACTAGAACAGCTCAAGTTAACTAACCTTCCCTCAGCTAATAAAATGATTCTTTTCCCATCAGGCCAAATCACATGATCTACCTGTGATCTTACTTTCTCCCAGGTTAGATCTGGGGTCCTCAAACTATTCTAAAATTGGTTAAAGAAAAGGAAAAAGCATGTGAGGTATATACTTTGATTGATAATTATATTACAATGTCAATTTCCGTGTTTGAATGTCCCATATTGCACACGATACAGCCGTTTTTCATTTTATCCATATGTTCCCTCATAACTACGTTCTTGTTTCCGGTCGCTGTTATTACAATATCAACATTACGGATCACTTCATTAAGTTTTACTACTCTATATCCATCCATACTACACATTTAAAAATAAAATATTTTGAAAGTTAATACTAAACTTGAATAAAATACCTAGCTTGTAAAGCACAAATAGGATCAATTTCGGTAACGTAAACTACACAACCGAATCCCTTCAGAGCCTGTGAGCAACCTTTCCCAACTTCTCCATAACCGCATATAACAACTTGTTTTCCACCAAACATAACATCAGTAGATCTTTTTAGGCTATCAATAATGGACTCTCTGCAGCTGTACAAATTGTCGTATTTTGTTTTAGTTACAGAATCATTGACGTTCATGGCTGGGACTGTAAGTTTTCCACCTTTTGATAGTTGATATAGACGGTGGACGCCGGTAACACTTTCTTCGACTATTCCTGTAAATAAAAAGTTTAAAAGTAGGAATAACAATTTCCTACTCTGTAAAACTTTTCATTTACCTTTGATCATTTTGAACATGGCGGGGTATTTCTTAAGCATGAGGTGGGTGGCATCTCCTCCGTCATCTAAAATCATATTTGGCTGCCAGTTCTCAGCGTTGACGCATTTATCTATGCACCACCAGAAATCTTCTTCAGTTTCACCACGCCATGCAAACACTGAATAGCCTGCTTCAGCCAGTGCAGCTGCTACCTCATTCTGCAAAATTATGACATATAAATAGCGAGCAATTCAAAATTGTTAATTTTTACTTGAGTAGAGTAGATATTACAAGCAGCCCAACGCAAACTTGCGCCTAAAGCAGCCAATGTTTCGATCAAAACTGCTGTTTGAGCATTGATGTGTGTACAGCCAACTATTTTAGCATTCTTCAAAGGTTTGTCATCTGCAGCTCTTTTTCTTAAAGCTATGATGCCAGGCATTTCTGCAAAATTGTTAAGATCACCATTGGGCTTCTTAGACCAAACGGTAGGAACGTACCTTGTTCAGCAATTTCTATCTCTCTTCTTCCAAAAGCATGTTGGTTGATATTTCTAACACAAAAATCCGAAGTACCGGCTGTATTTTTCTGAACTTTTTCTCTTGGTGATACATCATCATCATCACTAGAACTACCTGTACAAGATGCTAAAATATATTACTTAAGAACAGTTGAATAAAATTATTACTATTATTACCAGAACTATATGAATCTGTAGAACTTGCTGATAGAGATCTACTTCTGTACCTACTGGATTTCTTTAAAGCACTTGTTTTAGTCTCCTATAAATATGCGTATTGTGTGTCAATTAAAATATACAACTTTACTATACTATTTTTATTAATTACGTTATGATGACATGATGATAACATCTTTTTTTACTAAACTAATTATGATGCTGAGAAAATGTGTGTGTTAGCAGTATATTTAAAATAATTACTTCTACTAAGTATCTACTGTATATTAAACACAAAGCATATAAAAGATAAGCAGCAAAAAAAGCTTAATATTCGCGATTTAAAAGTTAAGATACATGTCAGAATCTATAAATTATTTACCCTATTCAGAGTTAATATAGGAACATGGTTTTTACAGATTTTGCAAAAAGTATAAAAAGTAATGTATATCCTTTTAAATGGTTAAAAGCCCCGTCTGGACATAACGCTTTACGTTACGTTTTGCGTTTTTTAGAACAGGTAAGCCGTTATGTCAAGATGGGGTATAAAATTATATTGTAATTGTAATACTTGATGTGGTCATAACTAACAAAAAAATCTATAGATGTACCTTTACTTTCTAATCAAATAAAAATAAGATAAAAATATATCAAAAGCATGAGCTATAGATGGATATAAGGGCTGACCATAAGAAGGTGAGGCATACACATAGCAACATGTATATCTTACCAACTTAGATCTTTGGCAGACGAAAGCACTACTTCCCTCCAAACCCTAGAAATAAAGGTTTATTATTGAAAGATTTACAAGAATTATTTGATAAGAAAATTAATATTGATTGAAGGTTGTATTAAATCTTTTTTACTTGATGATCCTTTATCGGTAATGATGTTGTAAATGGATTAAGTTACTGTCGGGATTAGATTTTACTCATAACTTATTTTTATAAGATACGCACGTGCCTGTTATTAATCTGTATAGGAAAAGTAAATTTTACAATTTTCTTACCTATTTGAAAAATAAAATACATTAAATATTATGTCATTTTAAAGCGTTTTTATATTTATTTTATTCGTAACAACATTTCAATGTTTCAAAAATATCTATTCTTGGCATTCTATATGATTATGTTAAATCTTATAATTACATTAAAACTAAAGGATTAATTCTACCAAAGATATAATAGATAACAAAATTAATTAAATATTTTTTTAATACAACTGAAAATAAGATTAAAATTATAATAAAGTTGTATTTTAATTTTAAATAAAATTTATGCATATATAATAAAATATTTACGGGAAATTTACCTTACCAAAAATAAGAAAGGTTTTGTGATATATATAAAAAATAATACCTCTCTTGTGTCCTATATATTCCTTAAATATATCTATACAAACTGGATTTAGAAAAAGAATCAATCGGTTAGTAATCAGCTGTTATTCTTTTATACTGAAGTTATGACTGAAATTGAGCTTAAAATGAAAGCTACAAACCTTTGCTCCAGCTGCGGGATCAGTTACGGGACTGTCTGATACTTGGTTTATATTTCTGTTGCCGATAATCGTTCGAATTTCAATGTTTTCAGACATAGTTTCATAAATCTAGCAACACGAACTCTGGCATTAAGTACCGCAGATGTACCACAGCAATCTTGGTTAACCGCAGTTAATCGCAAGACTCCCTCCACCATCGACGTCACTAGAGAGAGATAACAGACAAGAGTGACAGAAGGCACAAATTTTTAAAACAAATTTGGTAATACATTTAACAATCTCTAATGTTTTATAAATTATCGCTGCTATTTTTAACTAACCATATTACCATATAAGATTTTTTGTTAAACAATGATATGCATTTTTAAACGATAATCATGTATTAGGGGTTGTATACCTTTCTGTATCAACCCTAACGTTATAAGGTTTGTTCTCACAGCGTGTTCCCAACATGTTTGTGACTTCTTCCAAACCGGTGTTAATGCGCAGGTCTCAAATAATGCAGTTTCTTGTCGATTTCAAACTGTCTGTGCGAACAGCGAATCCCCTACTCTTCTTTTTTGATCTAATAATACCACTAATTTTAACTCCTACGTAATACCGAATAAAGAAGAAAACGAACAGGGAATTAACCAAAGACATCTTTTAATGTTTTTGGTTTTGTTCTTTTTAATGTTTTAATGTTTTGTAATTTTGATTCTTGGGCCTGACCCGTTCCTCCTTCAGCTCTTCTAGGTCTGTGTCTGTATCCGAAAATTCAGATGCCTCAGATTCTTCGGAAGATTCAAAATCGCTCATTTCTTTTCTTTATTTTTTGAAGAAAAAAACACTAAACAAAAACAACACACGTTTTGTATGTTAAGTTTACCAATTAATGACGTCGGGTCGCAATACGCATGCGCCGGACACTTTACTTGCAAAAGATCCACGAACAGGTCTGACTGTCAGCTAACAATCAGAATTTTCTGTGCGAACAGCGTACTGTTGGTTGGAAACCAATCAAAAATTTCTGTGCGAACGCGTTTCACCCTATTGCGCATGATTATCTGTTGGAAATATGTTTCTTACAGCTGTGAGAACAAACCTATAGAAATCTCACCCTAAAGCCCGAAAGGATCTTGGTAGAGGCTACTACAAGTATCAATTTAAAAAAAAATATATATTTATTGAATTAACATTTGAACAAAGCAACAAACATTACTTTAAAAGCAAAAGAACAGTAAACAAATTAAAAAAAAACATACAAATATTACTTTGTTAAATAAACTTATTTATTTGGATTGAGATTTCAGTTGTTTTATAGTTTTAAACATATTAGATATTTTCAGTTCTAGCCTTAAAATTTTTTTATTAGCTGAACAGACTTTTCTCATGCACATACTGTGTCTAATCTTCAGCGCCTCATACTTTTCTTTCCATTTGGTTGGGGAGGCACTAAAAAGGAAGCCTGTTAAATTTGTTGTGCAAGAAATCTTATAAGTTCTCATACCAATAGTTATGTATAGTTTTTACATATGTAATAGGTGTATTTTCTGTTGAATCACTTGGATTTAAACGAGAATTGTTCTGAAAGTCCTGAGTTGAGATATGACTCTTAACATAAACTCTATGTGGATTTTGTAGATCACTGAAACCATAACTATATAATATACTTCAGTGCATAGGATAACTGTTAACACACCCTTCATTGTACTCAAAATATCCATGGTCTTCTCGTTCTGCGTGAGTTTCTTTGATTCCTTGCGATTGTGTTTGCGATGCAAGATCCAAATGTAATGATGGTATAGCCATTTTTGTCAGTATCTTTTTACTAGAAACATGAATGTAATCCGTAGATTTAAAATGTTTGGAACAAACGTATTTATTTCTAGTCCATGTCCATTTTTCAGGATTAAGATTCAAAACTTTTAACCAGTGTTTTATTAATTCTCATTCTTTGGGAACCTATAAATCAATAGATTAATGTCTTGTAATTTGAAGGGATATCCCTACCTATGAAAAGAAACACCTTCTGGCATAAATCGTCGAAGATTTTTACAATTCTTAACCGAGCAAGACATATTTTAGAGTATTCCCAGGTATTCCTAAAAAAAAATAATAGAACATTTTAAATTGGAGAACTAACCTAAAATTCCAAAACTTCACCCAGTAGTACCTAGTGCTGGGCTATGTTTATCGATGTTTTTAAAACGGTTGTCAAAGGGTTCGATATATCCACGACATATCGCTGTACGGTCTTTAAATCTATGTTACTGACAGGTTTGAAAACAATAATCTTGTATTAAAATGGTCGAATCGTTGATTGTTAGAAATAAATTAAAACTGCATATTATAGAATATACAGGGTGAGTCATGAATAAGTGCAAATATTTTCAGGGCTGGTACATCTCGATAAATGAAACATATTTTTCCTTTACTGTTTTTCAAATAAGTCCAAAATAACTGAGATATTTCACTTTAAAATTTTCAAAAAAAAATAATTGTTCGATTATATTTTGAAAACCGCTGAATCTTTTCTGGGTTTTCTTTCTTGTAAATTTAATTTATATATTTTTATTTAATTTTGAAGATATTACGTTTTTTAACTAAAAATTAAAAAAATTTCTAATTTTTATTTCAAAAAAGTCCAAATTTTCAAAATTTATATCGGGTCGAAATAACCCCAAAAATATTTGCACTTATTTAAGACTCACCCTGTATATTGCACTGTAAGCATAATTTAACCGCATTTGATACCCGGGATTTTAGATAGTAACTGCAACTGCATGTGGTTCACGACGATGCCTTTTTTGAAAAGTGTACTCTTCTAAATTTCGTATGTTAAAAGTATTTTCAGATTTGAAAGAGTGACAGAGGTGATAGTGTGCAATTGCAAATTTAATCATGTATTTTGACCAAAATTTTGACCTATTCTGAAAACCTCTATTAAAAGTAACTTATATATATTTTAACTAGCGTGTACCCGCGACTTCGTTCGCGTCAAATTAATCATTTGTAATGGTGATGATAAAGCAAAGCCAGAATTTCCATTAACATATATAAACTGGACAAAATTTTCTCACATTTATGTCAGCATGAGAAAAAACAATATGGCGATATTATTATATAACTTGGTAATATTTGAGGGGTAGTTTCATCTCGTTCGAATTTGATTTTAAAAAATCCGTTTGCCAAAAATAAGCTTTTTACGTCAAGCAGTTTAAGCAGAATCGTGGTTAAGAAATTACCCAACTTTTTGTATGTACTCTTTTACCCTGTATTACCCTGTTTATATTGTACTCTTTTACCCTGTATGATTTTTTAAAAAAATTTAAAATATGTAAAAAAATCAAATAAATTATGCTTGTCCAAGCGTTTTCCCGAAAGACTAACCGTTTTTTAAATAACAAATATTGTAATATTTGAGGGGCATTTTCAACCTATACACCCCACAGTCAATCCGTTTGCCAAAAATCAGCTTTAAACGTCAAGCAGTTTAAGCAGAATTGTGATTACTCAATGGTCATATTTTATGAAACACCCTGTATAAATTTATAAAAAATCTTAAAATATGTAAAACAACAAAATAAAATATACGTGTTTAATAGTTTTTCCGAAAAACTCACCAGTTTTTAAATAAAAAATATTCTATTATTTGAGGGATAGTTTCACTCCCTTAGAATTCGAGTTTCGAAAAATCCCTTCTTATCGAACCTCTACACCCTAAAGTCAATCTGTTTTCCAAAAATCAGCTTTTTACGTCAAGCGCTTTAAGCAGGATCGTGATTAATCCTTGACCAGATTTTTCGAAATACCCTGTATACATTTTTAAAAAATCTTAAAATATATAAAAAAAACAAAATAAAATATACGTGTTTAAAAAACTTTTTTTCAGAAAATTGACCGTTTTTTAAATAAAAAATATTGTAATATTTGAGGGGTGGTTTCACCCCCTTTGAACTGGAATTTCGAAAAAATCGAACCTCTACACCCTAGAATCAACCTGTATGTCAAAATTGAGCTTCTTACGTTGAATGGTTTGAGCAGGATCGCGTGATTAATCAGTGAGTCAGTCACTTAAGGATTTTATATACCTATTAGTATAGATTACCATGCACACCAGAGTAATTTTTAGGGAAGAAAAAGGACTTGGTTATACATGATACTGTATATAAAATACATATATAATTTTATTTATAAAATCAAGACATACATTTATAAAAAAACTTAAGTAATATTGCGAATATATTCAACCCAGCTTTGCCATTTTGAGTCGAAGCAAGGGTCGATAAAAGTCGTCGTCTTTAAGTACCTCTAAACAACATCTTTATTTTATATAAACTAAGGTTTGGATACAGAGAGCTATCTTAATCTAAAATAACTAATATCAAAGTTGGAGAGAGTACAACTGACTATAAATGTTGTACATTTGTTTTTATAAAATAAATTATAAAATAAAGAAATTTACAATACAAATATGTTTTATTCAGATCAGTACCACGTAGAAATGCGAAAATAAAATAATGATTCTTGATGGAAGTGTAACTGAAGAACTGTACCTCAAAAGTTATAAATTTAGAAAACATTAATCACTTGAAAGATACAGAGAAATTATCGTAAAGCATAGCTCAGGTACCTTTTTTCCATCATATTTAGATAGATTGGATAATATACAAATACATTGTTACTAAAAAGACTTCTAACATAATATTATTTAATTTTCTCAGTTATATTTTGGAAATATTGTATGAGATCTTTTCTTGAGATAGTTCATTATCAAAAGTATTTTTAATTTTATTTTTAAAACGAATTATATTAAAAGTCTTTTGATATATCTTCGGTGTCACCTTTGTGTGTACATTCTTCATATTTCTTCAGATGGGTAGTTCTCATCACTACACCTTTTTTATCTACGTCATAACACGCTATATACAAATTAAAAAGTAAAATCTAAAGCTATTTACAAAGATTGGATCGCTTGAAAAAAATCCCCTGCCCAAATTTCAAGAACTCTGCGAGTTCTGTACATACTGCGGCGTTATAGTCACATACTATTACTTAATTTTGAGATCATTGTTAGGTGACCAAGTATGATTGATTGTATGTTGAAGTACATAATATTCATATGTATTCCTATATAAATTTAAACATCTAATTCATTCCTGCAGGTTTAAAACATTCTTCTAATAATTCAATCGTGAAAAAAAAAACGTGGTGTGGGATAAAAATACTCTTAAACCTTCAGGAACTTTCTTACAAACGACTTAAGAAAATAAATAATAAAAATAGATTGCCAGCGATATTCTCGTGTATACAAATTTAACATAACATTTTATGCAATGACCAAGTCAATCTAATATAAAAATAATAAAGAAAAACAAGAAAAAGGCTAACAATAACTTAATTTCAGTATAAAAAAACTAAAAATAGATAGAGTAATCAAGGAAAAAATCAACATTTCTACTATATAAACATTAATATAAAGTTCTACGCAAAATTGCTTGTAACGTATAAAAAACAATCACAACAAAATAATTGGAATGATATAAGTACGTAACGATGTAATATCAGTTGGTTTTTGTATATTTTTTGTATTAATGGTCCATAAGTTCTACGAATGTTATGTCGTATAAGTCTTCATCAACTGCTTTAAGTTCAAGCAAAAACAAATCTTCATTACAATAATATGCCACCATGTCGTCATCAATCTTGGCCGTAATGCTAAAAACAAACAGTTTGATTAATACCATTTCTTGTATAAGAGATAAAAAAAAGCATGTTTAAAAACTATCCGCTACCCAAAAAATCTCATTGTAAAGAAATGAACAGAATCATTTTTAAAGTCCATCACATTTGAATAGAATGGACCTTTTCACACAGCAAACATATTTTTTTGGTCCTATATATTTAAACAGAGTAAATTGCAATAGAAAATCAATTGTTAACACTGAATTTATAACTTTTTGTCAAATAAGTTGATTTCCTTAAGCTTGCCAAAAAGTATTTCATATGTTAACTCAAAATTATATAAATAATAGGTATTTTCCAAACTGAAACAGAAAACTAAGATATATAAATACTTCGTTACGGTCTGTAAAAAAAACTAGTTAGAGACCAACGCAACTGATGACCGAAAAAAACGGCGTCAGCGATGGCTTTAAAATGAAGATTGCTGTCATTTTATAGCCATTTCCAAGCCAACTGGACGCCGTTTTTTTTTTTCGATCATACGGTAGCTTCTCACTGTTAGATTCTAACACAGTAGTTTATAATATATTTGAATAATTATAAAACAAGATGTAGTAGAAAAAATGTATAGTATTAGTGGACTACGGAATTTTTTCAAATCTAACTTAGAGATTTGTGTAAAAAATAAGAAAATGTAGATATTTTCAAGTTAAATAGGGTATTTCGATTCTTTGGGATCTGTTTGTAGTTAGTAGAATGCGAACTGTTAGTTCATAGACCCATTGGTGTCCAGTTCACTTCTTTGCAACTACTCCTCAATATAATAATTTGAAAAAATATTCCTCTATGAAAACAACTTACCCTTTTTTGTTTTTTCGATACAAGTTATTTATACTTGAAGCGCTAATTTTGTACTTATTCTCAATCTGCAAAGTAAGGAAAACAGAATTAATTCCTCCAAATTTAGATTGATGCATTTTCTGTCTTTCTTGATTTGGCATAGATTTAGAAGAAGTACTGAGCTTTTTGCTATAGAAATAAATAATAAAAAAGAGGGATAAACAGAGAATAATGAACACGTGGAGGTCGAAAAAGTGAACTGATCCCACGTTGGTGACACAGAAAACAATACAATGATTTATTTGTTAATTTAAACATGCCGGGTTTTAGTTTTGTTATATTAAACCGTAAAATGAGATGTTTAAAAGCCCAGTACATCCAGGTCCATGCACTTAAGCACAGGGCTTTCAGCTTTCAGATATATTTTTCCATACAAGTCTTTCTATTTATATTATTATTATACCTTACTTAAAACTACAGCATTATAGTAATTATACAATTTCTCCTATTATAAAATAAAAAATAAGTCGTATCCAAACCAAACTACAGTCATATTTAGTATTTTTTCAATCAATCCCGATATGTTGTTATTTGAACCCCTGCCTCCGAGAATAGAGAAGGCTCGAAGGCTTAAATATGACGTCATCGACTGTGGATTGCCGTTACAAAGGCAACTGTGAAATACATTCATATTTTTTGACGAATTTTTGAAGTGAAACTTCTTTACGCGCGCTGGGATTAAAAATTCAAGGTCGTGATACACGAGCTAGCGAGATGACACGCGAGACGAAAAGTGGTAACAGTGAGGAAATTGAGATCTGTCTTTTGAGCGTCGTAACTCAGGCCCTATCTGAGCTAGGGGGCTGAAACTCGGAATGTAGATGGGACTCGAAAAGCTGGCGTCCAACATGACCGTGTACGACACGTGTCATTCTGACAGGTAGTTTTTCCGTAAGAAACGTCAAAAATTGATGTCGGCCGATCGCGACCATATTTGATGGGTAGGCTATGTGAACGACGGTGCACACGGTCCCACGTTTCGTTTACATCTTCATCAGAGTGGGACTAAGGATTTGATATTGAAAAAAAAATGTCAATGACTCAATGTCACTGTTTGATCGAGCTCGAAATAACAATATAGAAATTAAATTTTAAAAAATCTTTTTGTTTGTGTTTAAAAGAAAAGTAATATCGTTTGATATGTATTTTAATATTTTATAAATGAAATGTCCTTGTATTCCAATGTCATACGATGCTAGTTTTTAAGGCCTTTTTGTGCAAAGGATGTTTTTTTGCTAATTGACTCAGTCAAACTGTCCTTATGATGGGAATAAAATTCTCGAAAGCTTGACAAATTTGAAAAAATAGTTTTATTAGCCTATGTGGTGATTATTGACTGCATCCTCACTTAAATTTTGAGTTTTTTCTTAACTTATTCGGTCGCGACTAACCTGCTATTTTCAGTATATGTGATTCATTAATAATATCCTAAATAACTAGTAAATTTCACAAACCCAAAACTTTCAGGAATGACACAAACAAAAGTATTGCTCTCATCGTCTGCATTTTCTAAGTAAATACTTAAATTCAAAATAAGGTATTGTATTATATATTGGTATGTATTAAACTAATATTTTTAATACCAACACATTTTTAAAAAAGGTACCTAAATATAAAGTGATTGGTTAAGAAAAATATCCGGAATGTCTGAAAGCCCTGCAAGCGAAATAAAGCTAAAGCGTTGTTAACATCTAGCAACATATTTCAAGACTTACAGCATTGAGCAGGCCGCTTGTTGTGGGTGGTACGACGTGCAGGGGGGTATAAACCTCCTCATTTTCCTGTCTGACGTAGAGCATAACCCTTTCGTTCAGTGGCGGAGGTCCAGCACTGCCCTGACTCATCAGTTTGGCCCTCTTGATCGGCGGCGAGAACACCGAACCGTCAGTGGTTAAGCTAGCGTCCAGCATGCTGTCTTTCTTGTCAGAGTCCGGTGGAAAATGATTGTGGAACTTCAACGTAGGTGTTGAGGGAGGTTTTGATGCTGTGTGGAGCAGAAAAGGAGAGCCAGACTTGACGTGATCTTGTCCTGTCAAGGAACCGTCAGGATCGTGTGAATAGAACCCTTGAAGTTCCATCGAGGTAAGCTGAAAAAATAATTTAAATGGTTATTTTTCTAGTATTCGGCTTAAAATTTGAGTTTAGGTTACCTTATCGATGTCTTCAGCTGGTGAGAATAACACAGGAGGCTTTGCAAGGTCGCTCATGGTATAGAATTCAGATCTTTCGCATATTGGATGGTAGAGTTCGTCAAGCTTCTTTCTTCCTGTGGAGGTTAATTTTCTTTTTGCTGCTCTTCGTTCTTCGTCACGTGTCTTTCTTTCAGCTCCCTTTAGATTATAGTAAACATTAATATTTTTATTCTAAACTTTTAAATTCAAACAACTTTTTAAATACTACTACTACTTTCAATTCAATTTTTATTTTTAATAATAAATATATGAAATTCACCTTATCACAGAATACTTTAATTTGACAATATCCTCTATGGTAAATGTTCGAATCTCTTGGATCTTCGTAGGTGTCAATTTGTAAGTGCAGAGGTAGACCTTTAACGCCCTTTTGACTACTGAAGTCTGTGCTCAAACACTGGACGGCAATGTTGATCTGCAAAAGAATGCGTTTTTTATATTTGTATTTCTTCTTTCTCTGATATACGTACTTTGGCAGGGCTTTCCAATGGGTTCCAATAAATTGCTATGGCATTGTGGGACACCTCTTCTATACATCCCACCAGGCCTACGCTGTTTTTTGTATCTAGAAATAAAATAGTTAATTTAACATATAATTAAAAAAAAATTAACGGTATTTTAAATTAATTAGTAGACTTACCGACGTCATAAGCCTTTTAACGCAAGCATTAAAGAAGAAATACTAATTATATAGAGCAGAAACAGTTTTTCATTTATAATTTATATTTGTGTATCGGATTAAGGATATTTAAACGCTTTTAGAAGAAATTATTGCCGGTTGCCATCAAGTGCTCTAGTATAAATTCTATTTGTAAAGCTATAAATTTGATAAAATGAGTAATATCACCTAATAAATAACCCCACACATGTAGAAGAACAAAATAATACAGATTACACCTACGTATGATGCTGCCCACGCTTTAAATTCTCTAAACAGAGGTGTCACTATAGCTTCCCATTGAAGAGAAGAAATTTGCTGAATTTTATAAATTTATTTAAATTTTTATATAATAGAAAAATTTTTGCTTGTTCTAAGATGGTTTAACCCGTTTTATACATTTCTAAATTTCCACACCGCTTTAGAGAAAATTAAATAAATCATGAAAATATGGTTGAATATTTTCCTAATAATCAAAGGGCGTTTCTATGGTAATATCATTCTTTGATAGTTATTGATAGAATTTTGATTAACGTCATATTTTTTGTTGTTTTAAAATTTTAAAGAAACACAAAATTTATTTAGTTCAATGCTACGGAAAGGGTGATAATAGTTATCGGAAAATGTGATACTGTGACAACAGCAATAATTATGACGTTAATCAAAATTACCATGAATCAACTATCAAAGAAATGAAATCTCAGTGATATTTACCATAGAAAAGCCTTTTGATTTTTAGAACTTTTTTCGGAAAATTCAACCAAACTTTCATGTTTTTTTATATTTTCTCTAAAACGGTATGGAAATTTGGAAAAGTATAAACGGGATTAACCATTTTAGAACAAGCAAAATTTATATGAAGAATGCAGTTTCCTGTAAATGTCAATAATAAAAAAGTTTATATCCTCTTGTAAGGACAATACGGGGACATACACTGTATATGAATATATTTTAGTTAACTGCATAAAATTGACAAAAGTATTCTTTTTGTTCATTTAAGCTTTAATTTTATATTTGAACTAGCGTGTACCAGCGACTTCGTTCGCGTCGAATTAATCATTTGTAATGGTGATAAATGATAAAGCAAAGCAAGAATTTCCATTAACATACAAACTGGATAAAATTTTCTCACATTTATGTCAGCATGAGAAAAAACAATATGGCGATATTATTTATATAACTCGGGTAGTTTCATCTCGTTGGAATTGGACTTTCGAAAAATCCCTTTGCCAAAAATAAGCTTTTTACGTCAAGCAGTTTAAGCAGAATCGTGGTTAAGAAATTACCCAACTTTTTGGAACACCCTGTATAATTTTTTAAAAAATTTCAAAATATGTAAAAAAACAAATATATTATGCTTGTCCAAGCGTTTTCCCGAAAGACTAACCGTTTTTTAAGATTTGAGATTTGAGATTCGAGAAAGCCCTCCTTATCGAACCTCTACACCCCACAGTCAATCCCTTTAAGCAGAATCGTGATTACTCAATGGTCATATTTTATGAAACACCCTGTATAAATTTATAAAAAATCTTAAAATATGTGAAACAACAAAATAAAATATACATGTTTAAGAGTTTTTCCGAAAAACTTACAGGTTTTTAAATAAAAAATATTTTAATATTTGAGGGATAGTTTCACCCCCTTAGAATTCGAGTTTCGAAAAGTCCCTTCTTATCGAACCTCTGTACTCTAAAGTCAATCTCTTTTCCAAAAATCAGCTTTTTACGTCCACGCTTTAAGCAGGATCGTGATTAATCAATGACCAGATTTTTCGAAACACCCTGTATACATTTTTAAAAAATCTTAAAATATGTAAAAAACAAAATAAACTATACGTGTTTAAGCGTTTTTTCGGAAACTTGACCGTTTTTTAAATAAAAAATATTGTAATATTTGAGGGGTGGTTTCACCCTCTTGGAACTGGAATTTCGAAAAATCTCTTCTTATCGAACCTCGTCACCCTAGAATCAACCTGTATGCCAAAATTGAGCTTCTTACGTTGAGTGGTTTGAGCAGGATCGTGATAAATCACTTGAGGATTTTATATATTAGTATAGATAAATACATTTGAATATAAATTGCTAATCTGGCTGTTAAATACAAAGGTCATTTAGCGCCCACGCTGTTATCTGAATGAACATTTTAATATGCATTTTAACAGTATTAATTGTACAATTTTCTTTTTTTATTATCATGCAACAACAAAAAAAAATGCTTTAAAATGCTGCAATTTTCTATTATTTTGTCTCTGAAACCATCTAATCTGAGATTAAGAATTCTTAGAACTGTATTATGTAAAAATAAAGTCACATGGAGCTAAATATGGAGTGTTGGTAGTACCTACAGCACGAGTCAAATATAAGGAATTTTATCTTCTGCACAAGCGTGGAATAATAAGAAGGTATAACAGGATCTTAGAAATAGTACATCTGATGCATTAAGATCTTGTAAGATATTTTCTATGCCATTAACAAAAAGTTTATTTTTTTCTAGGTAAAGTAGAACAATGGATTAAATAAATGAAATTGTCAAATGATTTATCGCTTACGTACAATATAAATTATAAATCGTTGTTATAAGTCAAACTAAAATAATCCAGCAGGAAGTAAAGAGATCCCTATCGTAATTTAGTATTTTTTTGTTTCGCATAAGGCGTGACATTTAGCCACATCCATTGTGTGTTAGATAAAAATTGAGAAAAAATAACAATTTTATCTGGCACAATATAAAAACTGACATTTAATATTTTCAATTATTCATGGGTACGATTTCATGTGGGCGGACCTATCGAGAAATAATATTCTTACATACGATTATAATAATTTGAATATTTAATGATGTTATTTAATATTTATATGTCACTTATAATATACTGAGCCTTTAAAATTTTTATTAATTATTGCTAAATATAATTGGACGGTACATTGTATTTAAATATTTTATCTACCAGCATCTATTGTTATGAATTATTAATTTATTTCATAAATTCCCTTTAATACTAAAGCATACGAAATTTTCAACATCTATACTAATATATAAAATCCTCAAGTGACTGACTCACTGATTAATCACGATCCTGCTCAAACCACTCAACGTAAGAAGCTCAATTTTGGCATACAGGTTGATTCTAGGGTGTAGAGGTTCGATAAGAAGGGATTTTTCGAAATTCCAGTTCCAAGGGGGTGAAACCACCCCTCAAATATTACAATATTTTTTTATTTAAAAAACGGCCAAGTTTCTGAAAAAAAGTTTCTTAAACACGTGTATTTTTTTTTACAGGGTGTTTCGAAAAATCTGGTCAATGATTAATCACCATCCTGCTTAAAGCGCTTGACGTAAAAAGCTGATTTTTGGAAAACGGATTGGCTTTAGGGTGTAGAGGTTCGATAAAAAGGGATTTTTCGAAACTCGAATTCTAAGGGGGTGAAACCACCCCTCAAATATTAGAATATTTTTTTATTTAAAAACCGGTGAGTTTTTCGGAAAAACTCTTAAACACGTATATTGTTGTTTTACATATTTTAAGATTTTTTAAAAATTTATACACGGTGTTTCATAAAATATGACCATTGAGTAATCACGATTCTGCTTAAACTGCTTGACGTTTAAAGCTGATTTTTGGCAAATGGATTGAATATGGGGGGTAGAGGTTCGATAAGTAGGGGTTTCTCGAATCTCAAATTCCAAGAGGGTGAAAACGCCCCTCAAATATTACAATGTTTGTTAGTTTAAAAACGGTTAGTCTTTCGAGAAAACGCTTGGATAAGCATAATTTATTTGGTTTTTTTACATATTTTGAAATTTTTTAAAAAATCATACAGGGTGTTCCAAAAAGTTGGGTAATTTCTTAACCACGATTCTGCTTAAACCGCTTGACGTAAAAAGCATATTTTTGGCAAACGGATTTTCCGAAAGTCAAATTCCAACGAGATGAAACTACCCCTCAAATATTACCAAGTTATATAATAATATCGCCATATTGTTTTTTCTCATGCTGACATAAATGTGAGAAAATTTTGTCCAGTTTATATGTTAATGGAAATTCTTGCTTTGCTTTATCATCACCATTACAAATGATTAATTCGACGCGAACGAAGTCGCGGGTACACGCTAGTAGAGTATATAAATAAACCGAAAAAAAGGCAATTATAAATGCAAATTTAACAGGAGCAAAAGAAAGGAGCAATTCACGCTACGTCTTTGTACCGGAGCCAAACAATACGGACACTGAAAATCGCAGGAAGCTTGGCAGAAACAAAAACGAATCGTAGAGAAACAAAAGAAGGGCTGATGCCTACCTGCGTCCAAAATCCGTTGTTTCACCGAGTGTTGCCGGCCATGCCAGAACTGCCAGGCCTTTATTTCATCTTCAGGGCTTTTCTCTTCTCTGAACATAAGCATGACTATACTCTGTAAAGGAAAAAGAAACAATATAATCTTTCCATTTTTACACCTATTGAAAACTTTTTCTTTCAATTTTGCGTCTCCTTATATTTAGTTAAGAAAAACAGACGTCATGGTAGGCATTGAAAAGTGATTTTATATTTTGGCTTGTCGCATTAAACTTCAGTAATCTACTGACAATATCCCGACTGACACAAAAGTCTATAAAAGATTATGGATTTTTTTCCATCTATTAAACACTTCTTTCGTCTTTATATTTGAAAACCAGAAAGAATGTCATAGTAAGCTTTCATAACTGATTTTATTTTTTGTAACGCCAAAAAATAAAATCAGTTATGAAAGCTTACTATGACATTCTTTCTGGTTTTCAAATATAAAGACGAAATAAGTGTTTAATAGATGGAAAAATCTATCACATTTCAGTAACCTAAAAAAAGATAAAATATAATTTTTCGATATTGTTACCTATGAAACATGTTTTTATTATTTTTGAGTTAATTTAGTTTTACTGAAAAAAAAAGATGTAATGGTAGGTAGGTATTGACAAATTTTTCATTAATCTTCTGAAAATACTTCCAATGACAAAAAGATTTTAAACGGTAATCAGAAAAATACAATCCCTTGATTTTCCCACATATTAAAACAATTCTTTAAGTGTGGTTGTATGTATTGATAACTCCTTTTATATAAGGTGAGCCTTAAAAAGTGAAAATATTTTTAGGAGTAGTATATTTCGACCACAGAAACACTATTATGAGAAACAGATTATTTCGCAAAAAAAGGAAATTGAAAATTTGTTGAATTTTTTTTAGTTTTTAGTTAAAAACATATTTTTTGATAATACGGCAACATAGGTACTAGATTAAATTTACAAGAACCGAAAAGATCCAGTGGTTCTCAAAATTTCAGCAAAAAATATTTTTTTTTGGAAAATTTCTCTAAAGTAAAATAACTCGGTTTTCTTTTGGACTTATTTGAAAAACGGTAAGAGAAAATATATTTCTTTTATCGAGGTCTACCAGCTCTGAAAATATTTGCACTTATTTAAGACTCACCCTGTATATATAAGCTTATTACTAATACATTTCATTAGTATTCTGACAATATCCCAAATGAAACAAAAGTCCTAAATATCAATCATTTTATCATATATCTAAAAAACCGGTCAGTAAATCTCAATTCTCGTTTTACCATAGATATTGTTTTTCAAATAAAAATCGTTCGAATATTTAAAGATAATCTGAGGCAATAAAAGTAAATTTTAAGCATTTCACTAAATTCCATATATCTCAAATAAAACGTCGAAAATACTTTTACCATAACCATTCTGTACTGTGGATTCGACCAAAAACAAGGTTGTGCACTTATATGAACTCATTAATATGGAAATGAACTCAAAATAAAATGAGATTTACAGAAAAAATCCGACTCAGCTTAATGGAACAATAATAAATACTATCTCCGAAGAGAGATAAAATATATCAACGTGGTTTTTTAACTTTCGTTGTTGTGTATGAAATCAGCATGGCTAAACTTAACTAAATCGAAAATATTTGTAAAAAAGAAGAAAGTACCTTAGAAGCAGGAACTTTTCAGTGTCTCTCAGTTATTTGATATTGAAATTGACATATTTATCTAGAGTGTATGTGTATAATAATTTAGTATCCCTATAAATACAAAGAAAGAGAAACAATAAAAAAACACTAGATGGTAGGCATTAAATTAAGGGATAGTATAGTATTTGAGCCGAAAACTAAACACTCTGAACCAATGGGCACCTACATTACCATTCTTCAGGCGCTCAACGCTATCGAAAGAAGCGTAAAATTTATCTTAGATAAGGAACTATCGGAAACAGGAAACATCCATCTTATCTGATAGTCAAGCAGTACTAAAACGATCAATTCAAAAACCGTCAATTCGAGGTTGGTCAAAGAATCCCTAGAGAAGCTGAACAAGTTAGGCAAAGAAAATAAAGCCCTCCTACTCTGGGTGTAAAAATTTCAACGAAAATGCAAATGATCTAGCTAGAAAAGGAGCGAACACTCCACTAACTGGATCAGAAATTTCTCAGAACTTACGACAGAGAAAAATCAAAGATTTTCCTTGATTTAAGTAAGAACAATCTTCGGATTGTCACGTGGTTTTTAACAGGACACTGTCTCCCCAACGAACACCTCAGTAGATTGAAGCTGAGAAACAACGGCGAATGCAGATTCTGTGAAGAAAATGGATAAACACTAGAATCACTGAGTGCGCCGAGACGACCACCATTCGTGCCATAAAGTTTGGTGCGACTGATGTCGGAGATGGAGAGCTGATCTCTCTAAAGCCGTATCAGATACTGGCTTGAGACTGTATGATCAAGGGGGACACACAATAGATCTGTAAGGTCGCGGTGATTAACCCACCTCCCAAACACTCTACTTTCTACATGTCTTTGGATATAACTAATAAAAAAAACGTGACAGTAGGCACTGATAACTGTTTTTATATTATGGCTTATCGTAATATCGTAAGGAATATATCGTAAGGAATATATCCATGGATGGAATGAGACTTGTGATGATTTATACGCAGAATTTCTTGAAAGCGGAGATCGCGAAATAGCTGACGATCTATTACACAACATCAATATATATATATATATATATATATATATATATATATATATATATATATATATATATATATATATATATATATATATATATATATATATATATATATATATATATATATATATATATATATATATATATATATATATATATATATAGACGCCAAAAATGGACAGAAACTGTTGAAAATCTTGACTTCAAAAAATCAAGTCGACAGGCATGGTCTCTGCTGCGTAAGCTCGGAGGCGCCAAGCCTTTGAACGCGGAGATGATAGAGTATCACCTAACAGTGTTGCTGCTCGTATAGTCGTTACGTCCAGAGCCCCTCGAGATCGAACACATACAACTAAAGTTAAAAGAGACCTCAAGGCCCTGAGGGAAGCCTGCGCTGCAGACTCCGAGTATTCGAGAGATATTAAAATTGGCGAAATCACAACGGCTCTAAAAGAAATTAAATTGGGAAAAGCACCAGGATTTGATGGCATCCACCCAGAGTTCCTCAAACACTGTGGATCCTATACGAAGCAATGGCTGGCAAAATTTTTCACGAACATCTTTCGCACAGGACATATTCCTCACTCACTTAAGCGTACAAAAATCATTGCAATACTAAAACCAGGGAAAACAAATGATGGGCCAGAGAACTACCGTCCCATCGCCCTGCTAAGTATGGTTTATAAACTGCTCGAGAGAGTGCTACTCAACAGAATCAGTCAAAGAATTTTAGACAGCATTCCCATTGAACAAGCAGGCTTTCGCCTGCATCGTAGCTGCACAGATCAAATCTTATCACTGACAACATTTATAGAGGCCGGATTTCAAAAGAAACATTTAGTCGCTGCCGCATTTATAGACCTGACAGCAGCATATGACACCGTCTGGAGACAGGGCCTAATATATAAACTCACTCGCGTCATTCCTTGTGTAAGAATATCCAACCTCATTAACAATATGCTGTCAAATAGAACATTCCAGGTTATAATGGGGAATAACAGAAGCAAAACTATGAAACTGAATGACGGTCTTCCTCAGGGGTCGGTTCTTGCCCCCATACTTTTCAGTCTATACATCGCGGACATGCCTGCAACTGAATCACGAAAATTTGGTTATGCAGACGACTAGACATTGGCAACGGCGCACAAGAGGATGGAGGATGCTGAAGTTGTACTTACCAGAGACATAGCAACCATTAGCGAGTATTTTAAAACATGGAGACTCCAACCAAGTATCGTAAACACTGAAGTATCTGCCTTTCATCTTAATAATAAGATGGCAAAGAGAGAATTGCGAGTGTACATGGGCAACAAACTACTCACTCACAATAAACATCCAAAATATCTCGGACTTACTCTGGATAGGACGCTTACATTTAAAGAACACTTGACAAGAATGACGGCAAAGTTATTACACGTAACAACATACTTCAAAAATTATGTGGCACAACTTGGGGCTCATGAGCATCCACCCTGAGATCCTTGAGATTTTGGAGTATCCTCTAGCAGAATACTGTGCTCCAGTGTGGCTTAATAGCAAACACACCCGTATGGTTGATATTCAATTAAACCAAACTATGCGCACTATATCAGGGACAATTCGACCAACACCTACAATATGGCTGCCCACTCTTAGCAACATAGCTCCTCCCAATTTGCGCCGAGAACATGCCTTGGTCAGAGAGTTTACTAAAATAATGAATAACCCTCAGCTGCAGGTCCATGATGACGTACCACACATCCAGGGAAATCGACTACGATCAAGACACCCTCCATTGAAGACTGCACATGAGCTGCACCAAAATAATGTTGATATAAATGAGCAATGGAGAGAGAAATGGGAAAATGAGGCAGCTCCAATGTACCATGGTCTACCGTACGTTATTAATGAACCTGCAGGATTCGACCTTCCCCGTCGAACATGGACAACTCTTAACCGCATCAGAACTAACTGCGGAAGATGTGCCGACTCTCTAAATAGGTGGGGAAAAGTCCCTTCAGCCGCATGCGACTGTGGAGCTGACAGGCAGACTGTCAAACATATAGTGCAAGACTGCCCAATAAGAGCATATACGGGCAACTCAGAAGATTTACTTATGGCTACTCAGGAGGCAATTGATTATATACAAAGACTGGATATCTGTTTATGAGACGAATTAGCCTATTTTTTTGTTGTGTATGTTTTTTTTCTTTGTTTATGCAGTTTTTTTATCTACATATTTTTTTGTTGTTTATGCAGTTTCTTTATATACATTTTTTTTGTTGTTTATACCATTCTGTGTCCTATAACTTAAGATACTGTGATGTAAGAAATACGCTAAATAAATTAAAAAAAAAAAATTATGGCTTTTCTCTATCACGTTTTATAATAATCTACTGACAATAACCCCTGGAAGGAGTTGTTGTTGTATCATGGTTTCAGTTAATTGATTCGAAAACATTTGCAAAAAAAGTTGTGAAAGAAAGTAGCTTAGAAACATGAATTATTAATAGTCTAATTAAAAAGTTTTTTCCCCGACATCATCGCGTCTCGTTATAAATTTCCAGTTTTCAATAATTATCTTATAGGTGAGATAGATATTTTATTTATTTTGTAATAACATCGCGAACTTATCACTGCCCGTATTAATATATACTATTATAGTTAATTAAGAAACCTCAATAAACTTTCTTATTAATTGGTGTAATTACTGGTAATTCTCCCGGACAGAAATTTAACGATTCTACATTGTAAATTGTCTTCATTAGAATTGCCGCATTTTGTCATAGGATAGAAGGAGACGGAGCTAGCCGGTTGGCATGCCCATAACAGGAATCCAATGTCAACGCAGCCAGTTTTTTGATCGGATTCTCCATCGGTAATTGGCATCCTACGTGAACTGCTCAACTGCTAATTCTTCATAATTTCATAAAAATACGAACGTCCGATACATACCAATTGAGTTTTTTCGGCCGAATATCGGGCTGTCCTTTTTGGAGTTAGTTTGAAGCATAAAAGGAGCAGTTTTTGTCGGGAAAAATGAGTGGAAGGGTGTTGCCACCGACGGCAAAAACCTGCACGAGGTCAATTAAGACGGAATTCACGTTCTTTTTAATCACAATGCCTTTTTTAAAAGGCCAATTTTTGACTCTTAAAGGCTGGCTTATTTCATTAATGATATTCGATAATTATGATCCTTATATATCTCATTTTTTCCATATTTGACGGACGCACAACAATTCTACTCTGATCCTAATTAAACAACCTCCTATATAACAGATATTTTACTTTCAGAATTTCAAAAAAAATATATATTTGTCGCTTAAATTTTGAGAACCACTGGAAGTTTTCTTTCTTGTAAATTTCATCCACTACCTATGTTGCCATATTATGAAGATATTATATTTTTAACTATAAAAATTTAAAAAACTAATTCAAAAAATTCTAAATTTTCATTTTTTTTGCTCCAAAAATCTCATAGACGTTTCTGGGGACGAAATATACTACACCTAAAAATATTTGCACTTATTTAAGACTCACCCTGTACAGGGTGGTTCGAATTGTATTCAGGAAACTTCGGCAGCATATTCTGCAGATAAAAATAAGTATAAATGTTTGTCCTAAAATGATTAGTTTCGGAGATACAGGGTGTAGAAGTTTCATTTTTATTTCGGTTTTTGTTCAAATAATTTCTGAACTAACGTCGATATTTGGATGAAAATTGGTGTCTGGGAGTTTTTTGACATGACAATTTAATTTTGTTGTTAACATGACTCCTGTTAGAAAAATATACATATACGTTTAAACGTTTTTTTACGTAAAAAATGTCTCTTGGTAAAAATTACGACGAGTAATGTTTCTCGAGATTTGGAATCGAAATTATTAATATCTGTCATCACTAACAGAAATTAAGCATGTTGATTAAATAGTTATTAGAATGAAATAATAGATTTGAAAAGTGTTTGTGATAAAAGTTGAACAGAAACTGTTTTATCATCATTTTTATGATAACATTTATTTTTAATACAAAAAAATAAAAAGTTGGTTAGCTTATTTTTTTATCAATAATGATACGTATTGACTAATTCCGTTCTAAATATCTTGAGAACGGTTGCTCGTAGCGATTTTTTTAAAGTAAAAATGACGGAAACGTATATTTTCTCACTCAGTAGTTTTATACAGGTACGAACGAAAATTTATTAATCTTCAAAACATTTAAAACACACGTAGGTGGCGCCCCCTACAAGTAGGAGTCATATTGACATTGAAATAAAATTTCTTATGTCAAAAAACACCTAGCAACCACTTTTTATCGAAATATCGGCTCTCATTTCGAAATTATTTGGAAAAACCGAAATAAAAATGAATCTTCTACACCCTGTATCTACGAAAGAAGCATTTTAGGACATAAATTTATACAAACTTTTTTACTTATTTATCTGCAGAATATACTGCCAAAGTTTCCCGAATACAATTCGGACCACCCAGTATACACCCTTTAAGATTTACACTCCATTATAGTAATTTTTAATCATCAGTATTTTCTCAAAAAAGAATTTTGCAAATTTTGAAATTCATTTTTTTGTACAAATGCAACAGTTTGCATTAGACCCTTTAGTGTCACAATAAAAATAAATGTTTCACAATTAAGAAACTAACTAACCTAAAAATAATATGGGCATATTTCTAGTGATTCCATATTACCAAAATACGCATTTTATATTAGGGCTTTAACTTTAGAATTTTTAGAAAATTATATAAACGATCTTTATATCACTTTGACTATACAATAGAATTACTATTACTAGCAGATAATTAGAACTAACATTAAACAGCTTTGAATTAATAGTTGTGTCATAAAAAATAATAATATTAGTATTCCATTTTAAAAATTGGCTTCACTAGAAAAATAAGGGTTAAAAATATTATAAGAAAATTATTCTTATATATAGAAATTAAAAACTTATTTTGTTCATTAATAAATAGTGTTCTGTAATTGTTGATAGCAATTTTTTATTGCTATTAGCTTTGACAATTGACAGGCGTATAATTGTACATTAGTGCTGATCAATATCGATTACAAAACAATATAAATTATATATCTCCGCCTGAACTATAATACCGTACGTCCGATTTTAGTTTTATATTGATAGATTTACATAAACTGATAATTCCATAAAGTAAGGTTGCAATTAAACAACTATTTCCAAACGAGTTGCTAAACATAAAATTACATCTATAAATAAATATTATTACTCCATTTGTACTGTTTCAATATTCCACATGATTTATTTGGATCGATTCGTTAACGACTTCATTATAATTAGTTTTAAAAAGTAATAATAACGCCGGAGACATTTTTGCGTTTAAGTTTATTTATTCATTATTCATAATTGATCGGTTTTCCGTCCAAACAGATCAGTAAGTTTATTTAAATTTCAAGTCGTAGGATGGCTGAAACGTTATAGAAATTGTTAAAGCATTGAATTTAACCGGACCGTATGATATATCGATCATATATACTCATAAGTTACGTATATGGGTAAACCTATCTTTTAAATTTATATGCAAATTATTTTGCGAAACGTTTAAAAATAATTTAAAACTCAAAGATCGATAACATTTACAATGCGACAGTCTAAATATAAATCACTGATTTTTTTGAAAGCGACTATATAATGAATGACAGTCGTGAACGCGCGTATATAGGTTTCACAAAAAATAATAACTACAGAACTAATTTAAATATTTATGAATACACTTACTTTGACCGTTTGGGATTTTAACTGTTTATCTGGATCAGGTATGTACTCCAGGGTGATGCCATAAAATTGTCCTTTATTGATATACGTAATTCTGTCATCTTCTCTCCTTTGTGATGTTGAAATCGGCGATTCCAGGTGGTATTTAAAGCCATAAGGGGAAAATCTGGAAAAATAGAGAAAATCGAATTTTTTCGAGTGTATAAATCAGGCGAGTTTACGGAGGAATTTCGGACGGAAGTAGTTTCCACCATCGATCGCGTTTTTGCAATAAAACTGTCGTAAAACAATTTAATGGCTTGTAAGCGCGAAACAGGACTTGTTTTATATTTAAGGTAAAAGACACAAAGACAGGTGGTTGAGTCGAATGCAAGTGACCCGCTGACCCGAGCCGGACATTACCGAGAAGGTTATAATGGCACTTGACACTTGTAACGAATTTAAAAACGTGGAAACTTTTGTACGTGTACAGCACACGGTTTTGAATCATCCAAACTAGTTTGATAGTTGTTTCGGGCGCTGGAATAACCGCGTAACATAAGGTAGTTGATATCAAATGACACCGGTCAAATCAGGTTTGTTCACTTTATGTCGCGTACTATATCGCTCGTCTAACCGAGGTCACAAAACATTTTTGTCCGTTCGTTTTTAATGTTTTCCTTCTTCACGCATAGCTAGTTAATGGGATTTAGTTCACTTCCGAGAAATTTTCAAACGAGTTCTCACATTTTACAAAAGGGACTTGACATATGCTACTTCACCGCCGTATAATAGAACTTTCGGGTGTTTTATTTCTTTACACTTAAGAGGCCGTTAGATTTTGTTACTCACATTTTTGGAATTTGAATTTTGTCAGCGTCGTTCTGCCTTCCGAAATCGTGCCATGGCCTGCTCCGACTTGATGGTTGTGCTCCAGGTGACTGGGAACTGTTGCTTCTTTGTGAAAGGGAAAGAGGATCCAGAAGAGTCGAATTGGTCTGGCATAGTTCCGTATAATCAAAAGACTGAAAGAAGTTTATATTATTATTGAGAATTTTAGGGAATGTTGTGTCATGAGTGATATAGAGATAATGTTTGGAGTCTCACTCATGTACCAACACTCGTATATTTTCATTAGAGAGAATAAAAAAGGATGTGGGGAATGGAGTGGAAGTCTAGGGCTCACCTGTTGCAGCGTGTTCTGGTCGCGGGGTGTGATGGCGTCAGCACCAATGCCACTATCAGGGCTGGGAAGATCAACAGTGAGACCAGCTGCCGTGGCAGCAGCAATGACGCTTTTGCCATGGTACTGAGCCTGGCGAACATAGCGCTCCACGAAGCTGGCGCTAGCCCCGCCGTTGGCAGCTTCATCCCCGTAGGCCAGCTGCCCTTGGCGCAGCTGGCCAGAATACACGGGTTCGGGAGTACCGGCTCCCGAGGCTACCGTGGTGAAGTATTCGCGGTAATAAGGATCTGCCGACACCGAGAAAGCTCCAGAACTGCTCGGACGGCCCGAAGACGTGGAATAGACCGCGGAGTTTGATCCCACTGGTCCTCCACCCATAGAACTCTGGGTGTATTGCGAGACGTGATCTGCGTAGGGCGTAGGCGATGGGGTTCCGCTGCCGCTGTGGCCAGCATTGCTCATGGAGGCGAATATCTGTGTCGTGTACATAGCTGGTTTGAGTCCATCCGCGGAGATAAACTCGATAGGTCCCGTGGTGGACCCGTCTGCTAGTAGACTGCTGTGGGTGGATGTCGGTGTGCCGTTAATGGAACGGGAACCGTGCTGTGGCGAGTTGAGACCGCGATGACCCTCGTCCTTGATCGAGTTCACGTCCACCACCAGGTCCGCTGGCTGGCCGCCCCCTCCGGAGGACACCAGCACAACCTATAACCAGGGACGGTGATAATGTATTACTTCTTTCGTGCCTTTCAACAATTAATGGTTTTAAAATAATTTATGTTACCAAGCATCCGATGTTGAATCTTTCTTGTACTGCTACAGGCATGAAGGAAAGCATAAATAAACAAAAAGACTGCCACTGAAAATCATGCTGCTCTAGGTGGCCCTAGGACTAACCTACTACAAAGTCTACCAGCGCACATGCACTAACTACGCTAAAACTGAGTATATCTATTACAAACTAAGCGCCCTCTTCGATGTTAGAATGTCCAAGATTTTATGACATATCATTCTGCGAAAGAAGAGGCGTAATTTAAAAATCAAAACTAGTCGCTAGAGTCCATACACGCAAACGTACACACAAATTAGCCCCAACGTCACCAAGAACCACACAAGAATCACTAAGTTATCACAAAAGAATCAATCACCTTCGGTCGAGGCTTGGATATGATGATCGATCCGTCCAGGCTTCCGGAACTGGGCGAGCTGCAGTCCAGTTTCCGGTGGTGGCTCAGGTCTTCGGGCTCCCTTTTCACTATCTGCAAGTTTTGTCCGCCAGTGGCCGCGGGCTGTGCGTAGCCAACGTGTTGGTTAATAAATAAACCTTGCAACTCTTGGGAGCTCAATTGACCGCCACTGCTCAAAGGCGGAGTCGGCAATTCTAGCCCCGCCCCGCTCACTAATCCATTGGTCGCTTTCAGTTGCGACGTTAGGATGCCTCCGGCTTGAGAGCTTGGCCTGTAACAAATATATTACGTCATACGCTATTCGCGCTTCAACTGGAGGGGTCCCCTCGTTATTTTTCCTCATACATTTGCATACGATTTTATTGCGATTTGACATTTCAACTCGTTTACGCCTTTGCCTAATTTTATTGCCCACTTTATTAACTTTAAACATTCTTAAATTATGCACTTTTAACGTCTGCAAATACGCAAGTGAATCTTTTTAGTTTACATATTTAATCACACCCCTCATTGCACAAATTAGACGTTATACATATTTAACAAGAATTAAGTGCCGGATCTATTATAGATTATTCTTCCTGGGATATCGACACAAATAAAGAGAAATCAAAAATAACTCACCCCCAAGAATGTAGTATGCGGATTATACGACCGTACAAAAATTGTACCAAACATACCAGAAATATACATAATTTATAGAATTTTATAATTGCACCATCATTTAGGTTGTTGAAATTAAAAGAATCATTGTTTTTGAAAAAAATATAACAAAAAAATAATAAGTGAATAATAATTGGCAAATTAGCTGAGAATATATTTATTTTTTTTTCAAAATCGTGTTTCGTTAAAAAACTCAAAATTTGTTTTACCTATGGCGGAAATACCTCACGCCTAAAGAATAGACTACGAATTTTAGAGTGCATGTTAATTGGACTAGTTTTTTTTTGACAGTTATTTTTAAATATGTATATAGGATTCCATCAATTGCACCAAATTTTGCATGATCTACTATAAAGTGTGTTATTTTTAAAAGAATACAAAGTTTTGTTAAATAAGTTTGATATAACGAGGAATGATCTTCGAGGATCTCTGGGACGGAGTTGAAAAAATATATGAAAATCAGACCATTGTAATTTTTTAAACTTAATAGTGAGAATAACTCAAGCATTAGAATAATCCTGGAAGTTGTGAATTTCACCAAAGAAATAACAAAATTCAGAGGTGTAGATGAACTGCACCAATCTTTTCTCAGCATAATAAAAAGCGATAAAAAATCAGCTAGTTAAAGGAAGAAGCTATTAAAACAAAAGGAGGTTGTTACGGAATTCGATTTGTAGGAAGTTTTAGAGTTGTTCCTGTTAAATGACGTCGTGGTGAGCTAGTAGACGTCTGAGTCGTGCCGCATGGCGCGTGGATCTGACGGCATTGTGAAGGTGACCCGGTGTGTGCAGGTCGTAGCGATCACGATTAGCGCCCGATGTCGGTTGAACTGGTTCTATGTTAGATTCTAACGCAAGATTAAGTCTGCGGAGCAGCTTCCACCAGCATCGAGACAGATACATTTCTGTTATGAATGAAATTCTCTTATTTCGATTATTTTTACGCAACATTACTCCACTCGACGTGCTTGCAGTTTAAGTATAATATACCTCGACGCAAAATAACTACATTTTAGATGCGTATAGCGTTCAGGAAAACTACATTAATTAAGAAACAATTTAATAAAACGTAACTCCAATCTAATTAGGAAATTGACGTTTATATATTTAAATTATCTCTGCTGTATTTAGTACTTAGTAATGAACGACACTGGTCATGGTCTTGCTTTTTGTGCAGAACCAAGAACAAGACCGACCAATGCAAGACTCTTGCAGTCTTGTATTTTTCACACTCTTATATGGTATAAGAAATTACTTATTTGTTTAAAATTTTTTATATATCATAATGTTCAATTTATTATAAATAGTGTTTTCCGATTATTGTATAAAATTTAAAATTTTTAAATTAAATTTTATTTGTAAAAATTTTTGCTTGTTCTAAAATGGTTAATCCCATTTATACTTTTCCAAATTTCCATACCGTTTTAGAGAAAATAAAGGAAAACATGAAAATATGTTTGATTTTTTTCCCTAGAGTCCTCAAAATCAAAAGCGTTTCTATGGTAATATCAATTCGATTTCATTCTTTGATAGATGGTTATTATTAATTTTGATTAATGTCATATTATTTGCTGTTGTTAAAGTATATTTTCCGGTAACTATTATCACCCTTTCCATAGCATTAAACTAAATAAATTTTGTGCTTCTTTAACATTTTAAAACAAGAAACATTAAATTAATTAAAATTTTATGAATTACAATTTATCAAATAATGAAAACGAAGTTATATTACCATAGAAACGCGTTTTAATTTTTAGGACTTCAACCATAGTTTCATCTTTTTCTTAATTTTCTCTAAAACGGTATGGAGATTTGGAAAAGTATACCTAAACGGGATTAAAACATTTTAGAACAAGCAAATTGTTTTATGAAAAATGCATTTTTCTCAAAATGTCAATAATAAAAAAGTTTTTTCTCTTGTAAAGACAATCCGGGGACATACTGTATAGAAAAATAAATATTTAAATATTTATTAGTATTAATACTATTTATTTAAAATTTTCCTGTGTAGAAAATGCATATACTCGAAATCTATTAAAAAAATTAACAATCTTGCAGCAAGACCAAGATCAAGAGAGTATTGTTCTTTGTCTTGTATTTGCTGATCACTATATAGTAGTACTTACCAATAATTACATGCACTTTAATATACGTAAAACAACTACAATTTTCGAAGTCTTAATTTTTAACTTAACCACACTGAATCGCTAGAAAATACTAACTGTTTAAATCTTCAATAAATATTTTATTTACATACTTACATATAGATACGTATATTCTTTTTCGAATTGAGACAAAAAAAAAAACGTTTTTTTAAATTCTTTTAATAGTTATTTTATTTTTTGTTTGAACTATAGTTTAATCTATTTAAAAAATTTTTTTTGGTAGTGGACGTGATGAAATTTTCTTACGTTTTTCAATATTGGCTTATATAGTGCTATAACGCCGATGTGCTAAAATATTCGTATATAAATATTCGCGAATCTGCAGTACCTAGAACGCGTATTTCACACATTTATCACTCACCAAAGTGAATACATTATAAAATTTTAGGTGTCGTATTTACATTTTGCCCCTTTACGGTCAATAAATTTAATATATCTTCGTAACATATATAAGAATCCTCTTCTTTCAGATCTCGAATGAATATTTAAATTTTAAACTAACAGACGCGCACAGTAAGAGGGGTCTATATAATTTGTAAGGGTTTCACTTGATATTATCGGTATCAAGTTACTATGCAGATTCGAGATAAGTATTTCGATAAAAGGGATTAAAATTACATATGTAGGATATTGTACCAGCAAGCCAGAGACGAGCAGACTCCAACCCCCTATGGGAAGTAGGTAACTGGTAAATAACAGATTTAAATTTAACCATTGCGCTCTTTTGATTTATTTTGATTTATATGGATAAGAATTTTACCTTTGGTGGGATTATACAGGTCGACTGAAAAACAAGTTAAACTTTGTCAAGTTTTCTCACAGATTCTTTCAACAATATCAGTACATGTATATTATTTCGTATATTTTTCATTTTATTGATACTATGGAAAGCACTGTTCATTAAAATGTTGTACAATACAATTTCCTGTCTCCCAATGTACTGTTTGTGTCGGGGAAGGAATCATAGTTTCATAGTTGTCGATTTTCGAAAGAAATCGGTACATGTATATTATTTCGTATTTTTTTCATTTTATTGATTTTATGGAAAGCACTGTTCATTAAAATGTTGTATCCTATGTTATAGGGCTTGTTTCTCTCTACAATTTCCTGTCTCACAATGTACTGTTTGTGTCGGGGAAGGGATCATAGTTTCATAGTTGTCGATTTTCGAAAGAAATCGGTACATGTATATTATTTCGTATATTTTTCATTTTATTGATTTTATGGAAAGCACTGTTCATTAAAATGTTGTATCCTATGTTATAGGGCTTGTTTCTCTCTACAATTTCCTGTCTCCCAATGTACTGTTTGTGTCGGGGAAGGGATCATAGTTTCATAGTTGTCGATTTTCGAAAGAAATCGGTACATGTATATTATTTCGTATATTTTTCATTTTATTGATTTTATGGAAAGCACTGTTCATTAAAATGTTGTATCCTATGTTATAGGGCTTGTTTCTCTCTACAATTTCCTGTCTCACAATGTACTGTTTGTGTCGGGGAAGGGATCATAGTTTCATAGTTGTCGATTTTCGAAAGAAATCGGTACATGTATATTATTTCGTATTTTTTTCATTTTATTGATTTTATGGAAAGCACTGTTCATTAAAATGTTGGATCCTATGTTATAGGGCTTGTTTCTCTCTACAATTTCCTGTCTCACAATGTACTGTTTGTGTTGGGGAAGGGATCATAATTTCATAGTTGTCGATTTTCGAAAGAAATCAGTACATGTATATTATTTCGTATATTTTTCATTTTATTGATTTTACGGAAAGCACTATTCATTAAAATGTTGTATCCTATGTTATAGGGCTTGTTTCTCTCTACGATTTCCTGTCTCACAATGTACTGTTTGTGTCGGGGAAGGGATCATAGTTTCATAGTTGTCGATTTTCGAAAGAAATCAGTACGTGTATATTATTTCGTATTTTTTTCATTTTATTGATTTTAAGGAAATCACTGTTCATTAAAATGTTGTATCCGATGTTATAGGGCTTGTTTCTATCTACAATTTCCTGTCTCACAATGTACTGTTTGTGTCGGGGAAGGGATCATAGTTTCATAGTTGTCGATTTTCGAAAGAAATCAGTACATGTGTATTATTTCCGAATTTTAGTTCATTGTTTTTATGTATTTCATATAAAATGGGTCAGTTTTTTTTCTTTAGGGTACTATTTTTGTTATTAAATATTTGTGGTTTTGTTTGTTTTATTTATTTAATAAATGTTTTTATACGTTATTAGAATAGTTTTTTTTTACATTTCCAATTACATATTGCTCGTTAATGAATCAAGCAAAGAATGCTGGACGTAGGCGCCAGATACCCAAGGAACGGGCCTGGCTAAAATATACAGGGTATTTCATTACAGAATTGAAATTATAACTGCCATAAACTTTGGTACAACTGATATCAGAGATAGAGAACTAACCTCTGTAGATACCATCTCAGATACTGGCTTCTGTTAAAGTCCTGAGACTATATCATGAGTTATAACTCAAGAAGGAGGGGCACAATAGATCTGTAAGGTCGCAGTGATTAACGTTCCTTCTATACATTCTACTCATAACATAATTTTAATTAAAGTAAAACATAAGTTTTGTCATGTAAGAGGTTTAAATCTATCAATAAAAGGAAATATAGTAAAGAAAACCAAAATTTATTCCTCTCGCATATTTCTCTCTAATAAAAAAAATCAAATGATTTGAATTTGTAACTGTTCAACAAGATTCTACCAAAAAAGATAGCTATAATATGGAAATTTATGTAAAAATAAGGAGTTTCTTAAAGATGCCTTAAGTTGAAACTAATTTCTGGAGACGTATCAAAAAAATATAGTTGGCCCAAAACGGTTAGATCGCGCTAACCGTAAAATATATGCGAATCTTCTTGAAAATAAAAACGTCCATGCCGAGAATTTATAGTCATTGGGGCCGCATCACCGTACTATATTTTACCTCGCGCACAATAGGCTTTAGAGCAAAAAAAGAGAAGAGATCTTTTTGAATAGAGAGCCTGCTGAATCTTGGCGTTTGCATAATTTGTACGGATTTATTTTTCTTATTTTCAATTGTAGAGCCATAGACAGAGAGCTCGTGAATCTTTTACTATTTATACTGGCACGGTTTTAAGTTAAAACCTTCCTCCAGGCTATGGTGTATATCTGTACCATTATTACGGCGAGTTAAATATTCATATGCCGATACACAGATTTGCTTTTTTAGGTACAATTATTTTAATGCACGACGCGAACGTTGTAATTTTACATTTTTCTCTACTCGTCCGTGAATATATTATGAAAATAAAAATATAACCTACCTCCTCAATCTTAACATTATTTTGTCAACTTTATCGAGCAAAAACATCTTTCGTGTCTGAGCTTTACAAAAACACCTAGAAGGTTTCTTAAATAAGTATAGATAATTAAATACATATTATTTATTATTATTTTCTTATTTTTTTGATTTTTTTAGCAAACTGTATATAAATATATATACATATATCAACTTTAATTGGCAAACTCAGTTTTTTATTTTTCTTTAAAGCCAAAAATAAAAAAAAATAAAACACAAATTTGACTAAAAAAAATTCTGTGTGAGTGCTGTGTCCCATGAGTGCTAGCAAAATTTAAATTAAGTTCATGAATGAAATAGATCTATTTTAAGAAAAATCACAATAGAACTGAAGCAAAGAAAGATGTATTCTTGGATTATAATGATTAATTTCTCTGACTGTTCTCGGATTATTTTTTGTTGGTTATATTTTTTAGTAAGAAAGGGTTATTTATCATAAGCTGTTATTGTAGGGTATTGGCTACATTATTTATACGACAGATTCAATCTCGACATTCATAATTTGTCTATGTTCAAGTTCTACTTGAGTGTAATCTCTTTGGTTTTCTTTCTATTGAAATTTACATAATGCGAGATATACGCCTGTTTTGTTTCATCTAATACATCATTTGATATCGCTTGGCGATTAACTCACTGTAACTTAACACTTATTCATCATGATTGAAATGGCGTTATGAGAGGATGAAAAACCAAATCCAATTGATCGCTTGACAATCGTTCAACTGGAAACATATTGATAAATGACGTCGTTAGTATATCGAGAGATTAAATTATTGGTAACGTATTTTCAAATTTGATTTCTTTTATTTAAAATAAGAGTAGTTTTTCTTGTCATAAGGGTGTCTTTATCTTGCATTTGCTCATCACTAATAGATATCGGCCGGACAAAAATTGTTTTCGACTGCAATTTGAAAGGTTACTATGACGCCTTTTTTTTTGTTAGATGAAAGTTGATAATTTTATGAGGTATTTGCCACTGTCCCCTTGTATGGTCGGCGTAGCGGATAGATTTGTGGAATTTTTTGAGAAAACGTTTAACGTTACATGACATATTGTTAAAGATCTAAGCTTAACAGAGCATTGCGTGCCGTGGGTGCCCCTAGTTTTCATCTCGCGTGACACAACAATATTATTTTTGCCCGGTTGCAGTTTGTTCTCTCTCTGCATATGGCCGCAAGAGCTGAGAGTAATTTATCGACGATGCGAGGTCGCATGATCTTATTTCAGTCATTAACCCCAACGGCACAGACTCACTCACAATCCCGCCCTTAGTTTTCAACTCGCCCCATTTCACATGGGACGCTTCCACAGACACTCCCAGTATATAAATCTTCCTGCTCTAGTTTTTTTTCGACTTCATTTAGCTCATTCTAAATTCTCTAGCCAAACAAAGACAGACGTCTTACATAAATTCTTCCATTTTGATTTTTTTACTTCTACATAATTTTTTTATACAAGTTGTCCCAGGCTGAGCGTGCGTTAGAAGTTTCTAGAGAACTTAAACTTAAATTCTTTGTAAAATTTTACGAATTTCGAATTTAAATACATTATACCTAACATTAACAGTTTTGTAGAAAAAACAATCAATCCAAGTGTTTCAAAGGCAAATAAAATCAGGTATAGACGAGTACGAGTAATACACACACACCACACATACATTTACTGAATACTCACGGCCAAAGGTCAGCTAATTTATCCTTGGAATCTGCCGGCAGGGGTGGCAATTTGTAGTACTCGTATATCAACCCCATGGTGGCTGTTTGATCTTCCGCGCCTCCTCCTATGTTGAGCATGGCTGTCGTGGCTGCGGTCAAGGGGTGTTCGTAATAAGCTCTCCAAGTCTGCTGGTCTTCCGGAGGAGTGGCCCCCTCTGGCAATTCTGCCATGCCACGTGGGCCCACCACTGCTAGATCACCGTTGGTACCCTGGGAGGACGCCTCGCTATGCTCTTTCCGTTTCCTGCAAACCAAAAAACCACAAGGTTAGTATTAAATAGACTAAATTCAATGTAGCAGACTTAACAAGCAAACAACAAAAAGGGTTGTTAGTTGCACAAAAGTCTATAGGAAGTTGTTTTTTATATTTTGCATATAGGGGTAGAAAAAAACGATTTAGATCGGGACTGTATGGACGATGGTCCAACAATTCGATGTTTTCTTGCTTTGAAAACTCAATTGTTTTTCGAGCTGTGTGGGAACTTGCATTGTTTTGGTGAAGGATCATTCGTCGTTGAGGGTGAATTTTTCGAAACTCAGCAATTGCTGTTGACAAACAAATAGATATGTACCAATCAGCAGTAACAGTTCTTTAATTTTGCAGAGGAATTGTTGCTACCCGCCTTGCCTTTGAGACAAATGTCGCCACCATCTTTTTGGAAACATTTCAAAAACGGATAACTTTCGTCGGTTTTGGTTCATCTCGGAACTTTGACATTTCATATACGTTGGCAGGCGCCTACTATGTTTTTATATGCAAAATATAAAAGACAACTCTCTGCTAGATCTTAGTGTAAATTTATATATCTTTTAAAAATTTATGACATATTTTGTAGGGTTTTATGATCAGTATTTTATAATTTTATGGCAACTGGATGTTAATGGTTACTGACTCAGTTAAATGTAATTTTTATTATTAGTGAATGTTATTCAATAAAAAGTGACATCCGAATTAAAGACTATACTTTATAAGTTATTTAAATCGTTAAAAGGAGGTCGTTGGATATTGAAATGTCGTTTGTGAAATAATAATTTAATTGAAATTATTAGTAACTAATTTCGAAATTAGTTTAAACGCGTTTGTGCGCACTAATTTGTGACGTAAGCGAGAAGAAAATCGCTTTTTAATGTTCAGAAAGTCAGAAGCCTAATGAATACATTTTAAAGATCAATTTTCTACGCTGCCATATTGCATAAAATGATGATAAATCGCCTTATTTAGCATATTTGCATTTAAAATTCATTTCAATAATGGACGTATTATCTTAAGGGAGCGCAATCTGAAATTCTTCGGCCAAGGAACTTTATAACCACTTTGGTTTAATAAATAAATTGCATGCGGCATGTATTCTCTACCTTTTTTTATCTGTCTCCTTATCAGACACAAATCACATTCCACAGTATAGTAAGTTAATTCAAAACAAAACAAAAACCTTCCTAAGTTTTAAAGTTTCTTTTCATGTTTCTCTTAATGTTATGTGTCTCTCTCATCATTCTTCTTTAATACATGTAGAAATGAAAACAATATAGAAATTGATAACTCTAGATATAACATCTCTTTTTTATGCTATATTTTTGAATGCCACTAAATTTATACTTCAATAATTTATAATCATCAGTTCCATCTACAATAAGCTAAGTCAAATTATCATACTTTTTTACATGTTATTACATTTTTTAAACGAGTTTAGCTGCTAAGGTGAAAACTAATTTTTCAGAATAATAAAATCCGCAAAGCCGCGAATAAAAAGAGTAGAATTGTTCCATTTCGAATTGACTTTCAAGCAACGATAAAAAAATGTCTACAGGTTTTAATAAGGTTCAGCAAAAACCTGCTCCATTCATTATTGACGTAGTCAAACTTGTTTATGAAATTCATTCAAAAGTTCGGCTCGTAGTATAGTAGATACAGTGTTTACTTTGATGTAATAATTATATGGTAAACATATAAACGCTATTATTCTATTTGAGGGCATTTCTTTTTTCCAGTTAGGGGACAACCGGTATGATATATAAAAAATGCCTGGTCGTGTCTCGTAATGTAATTAGCTGGATTTTTATTGTTTTGCATTTTGTCCGTTTTGGTTTATTACTGTTACAGTTTTTAATTGTTTCATACTCGTTTGAAATTGCCTGTAAAGCAATTTGAAACAGTTTTATTTTATATATAAAAATTGTCACAGTTTGCAAGCTTTCAGTATGGAGATTCTTAACGGTTTAAATCTACTGAATTGTAATCACCAAGACATAATAAAAAACAAGGAAAAAGCATATAAAATGAACTCTCCGATATAATGTCGCCATATATTTTAACCTGGCAAAAAATCGAAATAAATCGTGTGTGATTTTTCAAGCCTGAATATGTATGTTTAAAAATTTTATGCCCCTGACTTTGATGGATTGGACGTAACGTCACTACTGCATCCCTTGAGAATTTTTACCCTTCAATTTTTTTACCGACGTGGTGATAAATTTAAGCGAAATTAAAAGAGTTCGCAATATAACGAAAGACTTTTAACTAATAGCAAGATAGAGAATATAACATTAACGATTAACGTCATATTATTCTATATGAAGTTATTTATTGCAATAACGCCCTAAATTTCCAATTATGCACGCCCCTGTGTACGCCAGTGGTAATTATTTGAGCCTCCAGACTCACATATTTCTCCTTAATAGTTAAGCAGAGAATTTCGATAGAAAACTATTGATATATTAGTATTATGTAAATTCGAACCATAAATCTAAGATATATATTTCGAACTTCTCGTTTCTAAGATCTTTAAATAAAACTCAAATTTATCATTGGTAATTAATTTTGTATACAGAAATATATGCGCCAGATATTTTATGGCTTTTTTCCAACTGTACTCTCTATCCCATAGAATAGAACAAGCTTGATTTGTTGGAATGCAAGCCCGCAACTATATACGTATATACGAGGTGTTCTAACATGTGTGGATCATACTTAAAAGTTACACTATGAGCGGAGTCATACGAGGGATGTCTTTTAAATTTTGCATATAGAGGTAGAAAAAAACAGTATAGATATCTTTTAAATACGAAGTTCCAACGTTCGTTGGAACCAATTCTGAAAGCAGTTATTCCACTCGCTTGTTGGTACCTTCAAAATTGCGTTTTTGAAGGTACCAGGCCACGCAGTTCATTCTTAATTTTTATGGTAAAGCAAAAAAGTCTTGAGGACTTATGTCGGGAATATATGGAGGATGGTCCAACAATCCGATGTTTTCGTGCTATAAAAACTCAATTATTTTTGAGCTGTGTGGGAACTTGTATTGTCTTGATAGAGGATCATTCGTCGTCGAGGGTTGGTTTTTCGAAACTCAGCAATTATTTCCGACAAACAAATAGATATGCACCTCTCAGCAGTTCTTGGATATTGCAGAGGAATTATTGATTCATAGCCCACTTTTGAAATAAATGTAGCCATCATCTTTTTGGAAAACTTCGAGAACGCATAACATTCAATGGTTTTGATTCATCTCGGAACATCCAAACAGCTGATTGACGTTTATTTTCGTATTCATAAGAGTAAATCCAGGATTCATCACCACTGATAATTCTGAATATATTTTTAGAGTTTCCGGTGTGCGTTAAACCGGTGTAGCGTTTTTTGTCACCAATTGACTCTAATTGCTTTCTGTTCTTCCGTCAACAGATGCGGTATCCAACGGGAAACCACTTTTTACAGATAATTCTTCATCTAAAATTTTTTGAATTAAAGTCATGAAATGCCTAATGATGCTTCAATTTCACGATATCTGACATGTTGATCTTCTTGGATCAGCTTACGTACATCATGGACGTTTTCCTGGGCGACTGACGTTATTGGTGGACCTGTTCTTGGATCGTCACTTAGACTAATCTGTCCACGTTTAAATTCTCCATACCAACGAGAAATTGTCGACTGACTGTTCTTCATTGACGCAAACAGAAACCAACTCTGCAAGGCATTCTTATTGAGACATCTGTCTTCGAAAAATGTAAAAAAATATTGCGCGAAAATTTCCTCGGCTAACCAACTCGTCAACTTCAAAAATTCAATTTAGGTACAGCTTTATACGAAGCGGTTTAAAATTTTAGCGTTAAGTTAACTAAAGATGACAATTAATTTTGACATTTGATATATGTTGACAGGCTTCTACTATGTTTATGTATGCAAAATTTAAAAGACAACCCTCGTACACATGTATAAAAGATGATAACTAACCAATCTAACAAAATGTAAATAACTAGCATTTCTCTGTTTACATCTGTTAGGTACCATCAAACTCCATTCTTTAAATCAAATGATTTGATTTTCAGTGTAAGTATTTTCTATGAATAATCAAGCTTTTTTACTGGAGAAAGCTAATATTATCAATTCCGTGGTATAGAAGGTGCACAATTATTTCTTTCTTGCCTTTTTCCTGTCGAGCCTGAGACTGATTTTTCAACAGCCTGTTTGTCTTTAGTGAAATTAATTAGATACAATTAGAGACTTTTCAAGGGGATTAAAATACCTCGAGAAATTGACTCTTTAATTGGAAATTATAAATAAAAAAGATAACTAACTGTTTTTCCATTAGCCGTCGTTAGCGACCTTTTATTCTTATTTTATTCTCTCCAGTTAAACATTATATAGTTAATCATCTAACATCTTATTAAAATTAAGTTTATAAGCTTTCTTAATTTTCTATCTTACGCAGTTTAATAATTATTATTGTTCTTTCTATAATTTTTCCAATATGAGAAGAAATATTATTCGATTTAAAAGACTATAAAACTAACGGTAGTAACTAACTGTCACAAACAAGTTCATTTAACGTCTGTACAAGATAATTTGCGGATATCGGAACATCCCTTGCGCGTACCTGCCTGTCATTAAGTCGTCAAAATTTCAAAAACTACAAAAGATGCAACTGATATGCGTACATAATATGATTGATATATTAGAGTGGCTCGGAGGGAGAGAGTTACATATTCCTTTTTACCTGCTGGATGCTGAACAAGCACAATAGATCTCGCTAACCCATGCGCAGCCATCTCTCTTAACCCTTTTGTGGAGGATCCGAAAAAAATTGTCTACACTTTATGCGTGCTCATTTCAGCTTGACGGGCCTGTTGCTTTTTAACACCAGCAGAGCTTCCCGTCGTTCGCATCAGTGCTTTAGATTGAAACTTATCTTAAACAAGTGTTTTTCTAATATAATAAGACAGATTTTTTGTTTTTTAATCATTACA